CTAAAGTTAAGCAGTTAAATAGTATATGTCAGGATATGGCGAATAAAATACAGTCAAATAAAGCAAAAACACAAGATTTGTTAACAAGAACTGCTGCACTGCAAAGTGAAAAGTAATTTCTTCAACAAATTTCATAGCTTTTAAGAGCGAAGAATAATCAATAAGTTCAGTTCAGTAATATCTCACGTGTTCAAGGAACCGGGAAAATATTAATCAGTAGGCAGTTCTGGATCTAGTCTGTGAACGGATTTAACTTTGAACATAAGTGCATCGTCGATTTAATCATTATTTAAAGATGCTGTATAAAGAAGGATTGGTGACTTAATGTTCTGTATCAAGTTACAAAGATGCACAAACTATCGGCATTTTCTGAGAACTAAGCTAGTGTAGCACCTTGTTATTGTCTCTTTTTGTGTTGTGAAAATTATTTCTCATTTAACAACGTAGGATTATCTCAAATCTGCTTTAGTGCAGTATTTATAAACTAATGTCTACAGTAATAATTTAGGGTTTTGCAGGAGAACACTTGAGAAAAAGCAAGTAGCAATTGATGACTTTTTGAATCGTTATTCACTAGCACCTGAAGAGGAAGCAGCTCTGAAAGGTTCCGAAGCTGGTCGGCTTTTTTTCACTTTTTTTAATAAGTGTTCCTTATAATTTCGGAATGTTTTGAATATTACGATGATTCGTTTAGTTCTTCTTATTTCTATTTCTTTCACTTTGGAATTTATTAAACATTTGGCTTAAATCTTTAAGGTTGAAATTAAAAGTTCTTTTGTTATAGATGGCACAGTTGATGCGAAGTTTTTTGCGGCACTACAACGTGTGAAGCAAATCCATGGTGACAGTAAACAACTTCTTCGATCTTCTGGAGAGCATCTTGCAGCGTAGCTTTCTTTAAATCACTTTACTTGTATTTTCCCGGGATTTTCTGAGATAAGAGATCATAGATAATAGAAATAAAGGATCATAGTAATTTGGCTATTTTTTAGGGAAATAATGGAAGAAATGGCAAATAAATTGGAAGAGGCGTATGAAGCGCTGTACCGTTCAATTCAGCGTATTTTTTGTCTTTATTTTAATTTATTCAAAATCTAACTGTGTTATTTTATTGAAGTGTACTATTTTTGGTAATTTAATGAAATTAAGGATGAATGAAACAGTGAATTTAATGTTTTAGTAACAATTTGGGATGGATCCTTTTCCAGTTTTTTTAGTTCTTGATAATTTTTATTCTAGGATATACTTTATAATTTCCAGCTTAGTGTTTAGGTGAGTGTCGATTGCTTAATGTGGAATTCTTGGAAATGAAAGGAGTTTTGGTGCAGTCAGTCGCAGCGCTTCAGGACCGTGAAGTCCTATTCAAATATGCCTTAGATGAGTATACTATGGCACGGAGAAATCACATAGTACGAGCATATATTGACGCACTGACACGAGGAGGTTCGTTTTTGGAATATATATTTTCTTTCGTGAGTTTATATGTGTAGAATTATTATATTAGTATGCTGTCTAATTTTTGTCGACGATTGGCTGTTTATCAGCAGTCGTTTTTTGTTTCTTACTTCTGGAGTATTGGTTGGGGCATATTGTGATTAAATCTTATAGATCATGTAGACAAGCTTCTTTAAGGGGACCATACTGTTTCAATTTTTTTGGATATTTTCTCATTTCTCCAGAATAAGAAATCTTTGTCTTAAATTTCTGGAAGTCATTTTCTTGAATATAACTGACTGACATAGTGAGATAGCTGATCGGTATTTCATTATGTCTGAATTTCGTTCAGTATATATTTTAACTTAAGTATATGTTTTATATAACCGTAACTTCTGGCATTAAAACTCCATTTTCTTCTTCAGGTGCTGGAGGTACACCCAAACCAATTGAATTGTTGTCTCATGATCCATTGAGGTAGATTGTTTGATATTTATTTTCTCGTTATTGTTTTATTGTTTCACGTAGCAAGTAGCGCAGATCGGTAGGTATTTTGCAGTTTAGAATTGTTCATTAATACCAGATTTACAATTTTGTTGCAAAATTTTATTTTTTTGTTGAGAAGTCAATTTCTTTTGTGGCTGACCAATTAAGATTCATTATCTCTTCATTTCCTCACATTTCAATAAAATTATGATTTGTAATTTAGAAAAAATATTGTAATTTAGGTATGTGGGTGATATGCTTGCATGGATTCATCAGGCGTTGGCTACCGAAAGAGAACTTTTGCAAGCATTGCTGAAATTATGTAGTCCAGATGGTATCACGTTTTCCTTACAAAGATTTAATTTAGAAAGCGAAAGTAGAATTTTGCTAACAGTATGAACAAAATGGAAGCATTTTATTAGTAACGATGGTTTATAAAAGATGTGAAAAATTTATCATCCAAGAAATATGGAGCATGCAATTACTGTATATCTTTCTCATTGATACTGGGTAAATAGCATTATGGCTTTTGACTTTGTGACTCTGTTTTGTTATTTTGTGGAGCGTAAGAGACATATCATATCGAATGAGGTAACACTGCTGATTTGGAATCTAAGATTATAATTTTTGTCCAAAATATATTTAAAGTTATTTCAGTTTTGAAAGAAAACTGTGTGGGTATACAGAGCCAAATTTCCGAAGCACTTTGTCGTCCATTTAAAGTATGATACAATTAATTTCGCTTTAATCACAGATTTCGTTTTTTGTTTCGAATACCAGGAATTTTTTTGTTGTTTTAAATCTTCTACTATTTATTTTGGATTAAAAAATTTCACAGTATCCGGAATTTTTTAGAGAATTGATAAGGCAATTTATAAAAAGAGAACTTATAATTTATAATCAGGTTCGTGTCGAGCAGGCTCTCATAACTGAAACGAATTGTATTGTACTTTATCGATTATCTTGTCTTTTCACTTTCTATCTCGAAACAATGGCGTAAGTAATTTGCGAATTTTCATATTTTGTTTCTACATTTGTTGGTAGTGTGTTTCATCTTGAATACATTTACCGCTGTAATGTAGCACAATCCGCACGATCTTCTAAATGCTTTGAATTAAAGGTTTTTTGTAAAATCACTACAACATAAACCAAAATTTGCAAGTCATTAAAGCATTTTTCAAAAAGAAACACATGAAGTTGATTAGAATGAGAAGAAAGATTAGTTTTATGACCGTTTTTGTTCCCTATCGAGTTTCGAATCCTCAATTACGTCCTCAATTGAAGCCGAATTTAGAGGTTTAATTTCTCATATTTGCTCTCCTTAAGTTCTTAATTATTCATAGTTGCAAACAATATAAATTTTGTTTGGAGTAAAAGAAAAAATTTGTGTATGAGATGTAAAAGAAATGTCTGTGATGACTACCGTGTAAAATTTTTTTCTTTTTTGCAGACCGTCTTTGAACTCGGAATCGATGTTAATTCAAACATTTAAAGAGCTGAAAGAATTGACGTTAAATTTGTTTTTCAGTGGGTTACATTCCCTAGTTCAGAAGCTTGTTGGAAAGGTTGGATTATTTCCTTTATAAATTTCGCAAATTTTTAACTATCAATAAAGATTTTGAATAAATGAATGGATTCACTTACGATTAATTTTAAAGGTGGGATTTTCAATTGTTTGCTAATGCCGAGAATAATGGAAAAATAATTAATTGCTGGTTGCCTTTTGGGGTTGAGTGGGACATAAATAGCTTTAAGAAGAAATTATCTGCCCGTTTGCTCAAGACTGAACCAGAATTAATGTTGATGCCTAAATTGGTTTTAATTCAAGGAATTAATTCATTTTTTGATTATACTTGATTAACTATGACAGTAAAATTTTTACTTAAGATGGGTACGCCTGATTACGATTTGCTTCCTGTGTCCGGTGTTCATCAGGTGCTAATGTTGCTTAAAGATGTTCTGGAATCACATGATGGTGCCGTTGCTGCTGTGGCTGAGAAGAAAGAAAATTTTGAGAAAGTAGGTAGCTATGTTAGACTACTGTATTTTAAATACAAAGTTGGTGTCATATGCTACAGTAGGTTAAATAGGAAACTTTGAATAATAAGAATGACTTTTTTGGAAGTCAGGAACGAATCATAATATGAATAAGTGAACTATAACTATAGTGTTGTTGTAATTAGAAGATGACATTTCATTATTAAGCTTTGAATCTAGTCAGTGTGAATGTTCTTTCAGATCTTTGCAACTGTTTTGGATCCGCTAAATCAAGCAGTGCAGTTGTCAGCAACACAGCTTCATTCACATATTGATGTCGCTGTTTATACTCTTAATTGTTTTTCCGCTGTAAATGCTGCTATCATACTTTATCACTTCACGGATTCACGCCTTGAAATGATTAAAGCTCAGGTATGATTATGTTTTTATTAGTCTTCTGGAACTTAAGACCTGACAGATTTTAATTTCGGTAAGAAACAAAAGAATTAATATCGTGCAGATAGGAGAAGCAGGAAAAGGTCGGATGAAATTTAGTCTTCCGTCTTTCGAGAGTATTTTTATGACAGATTCTGTCTATTGTCAACCTAAAAAGATCGTTCTGAATTTTAACGTGATGATTTCTCTCAAAATAAGCTATGTTAAGGAATATAAGCTATGTTTTTGGCATTCTGTCGCACTATAACTCGAAAAATAGATGAGTTGGAGTAAATTACTGTATAGTCCATTCAAATTTTTGCACGTTTTTGAAGACTGATGCAAACGTCGATGTGCTTGTTAGTGAGCAAGCCACTTTCATTATAACACAAACAGGATTAATTGAACTATATCGGAAAGCCGCAGCTCATCAACCAAGCCAAGTACTTGCTTTATCACTTCATTTATTTATTCTTTTTTAATTGTTTTTTTGCAATGTCATTTTGGTTTTTTAATCGCGTCAATTCAAAATGAAATTGACAGTGGTCGTGACGTATTGTTCTAAGCTAGTTTATTCCAAGTATTGGCATCTAGCGCTTTATTTAGATAGTAAAATGTAGTTTTTATTGTTTAGTTGATCTTCAGCTGTTTCTTAAGTCTTTGATTGCCATTTTTTTCTGGAATACTTGTATTTCAGTGATGGTTTTCAACATGTCAAACAAATGTGGGGAGGAATTTAATGATCTGATGTTCTACAATTGCATTTGTGTGCATATATATACTTGTAAGATATATTGCTAACATTTGCTTTTTCAAACTGTTTTCAGGGAGTGCTTTCTGAAATCATTGGAATGGAACCGTCTCGAATATCAAGCACATTGTCTTCATTTGATTCTTTTCTAGCAAGTCCTGATAAATATAAGTTAGATCAGTGTGTGAAATTATCATCTGCTCGATTAAGGTTTTTTTTTTAATATTCGTACTTTGTTCAAGTGATGTTATTCAAAAACTGCTGCACTTGTTTCATATTTCAATTTCTTAGGAAGATCTTAGTGATCTGCCATTCTACAAATACAGTCTGATAGCCTCTACAAACCGATCATATGCAGATCAGATAAATTCAGGGATACAGTACGAGAGAGGACGATTGAGAATGTGGTGGCAGCTTACAAAATAATTTATGATAAAATTGTTGATCCAAATAATAAATATCCTCAGCTGTCTATTAAAACTGTCGAACAGGTAGAATTTGTGATTGTGTGACAAGATAGTTCGTTTTGACCACTTAAATTTTGGTTGTGGCAAACTAAAGCATATAAACTTTTGATATAGCTCAAACTTTTAAATCCAGAGCTGGGTATATTGAGTTGAATTATACCGAGTTAATTCATCATTTTTCATTTTAGGTCCAGGAATTACTGAAGATATGGACGTAGGCGGATGCGGAATTTCATTTCCATATTTAGTGAAAAACGGTGATGATCGCTTAGTACTGGAAATGTAATTTTAAATTTCAACTCCGTTGATGCTTTCGTTTGGTATCGCTTGGAAATAACATATTTGTATATCTTTACGGCTCATACTTGGACCATTAATGCTGTGATATCTTTGTTAAATTTTTTTAATTCCATACTCCACTGTTAAAGCTCGAAGATTGCTTGAGTCTCATTTATGCACCTTTTTAGTGTTATTTTAATTACTTTGATCGAGATTGAAAAAACTGATTATCGCAACACTTTTTGCTGCCATTCATTCAGGATGCGAAAATCTTGCAAAAGCATTTTCATAACCCATAATTGTTTATTTAACTGTTAGTATGATACGGTATGGCAAACTGGTTGTAGTATACAATGCGATAAAATTGTGATTATATTTGTATGTATCTGAACGTGCGTTTACATGTTCATCTATGGGCAAATAAAAAGAAATGTCAATCAATATCCAGATAAAGTAAAAGTATCATTAAGGTTGCTCTTGATGCAGCTTTATCTATCAAAATCCCCTCGCTATGTTTTTCATTTTTCCTTGCTGTTATCGTAAATTTAAAAAGATGGAATAATAAATGTACGCTTTAAAAAAAATTTTAGCGGGTCAATAATTAGGGTTGCGAATTGTTTTGGGTCGTATGAACTAGTCGTGTTGTTTATCGGCAATACGTCATATTTGTTGGGAAAAATGCACTGAATATGAGAGATACTTCATCTCAGTACTTTCCATGAATCCTTTTAGTCATTTGACTGTAATTTTTGCGTAAGGTAATGAAAAAGACACTTGCAGCGAGGGGAGAATAGCAAAAAAGAACCGTTATACAGGAACCGGCGGTGCTGACGTGCGGCTAACAATGCTGACGCGCAACCACTAGTGCTGACGCGCGGCTAGTAATACTGACGCGCGGCTAGTAATGCTGACGCGAGACTAGTAGTGCTGACGCACGACTTATGATGCTGAGTTCGTTACTTCAGCATCAATGTTATTAGGAAAAAAGAGGTAAAAGGAGGAGATTGACTGATATGTTTTGCCTGCTAGCATATATTGTTTTTCCGGAATTTGGCATCATTGAAATATTTATCGTTTTATTTTTGTTAGAATCTTTCCTCTGGTTGTTCAGGATAATGAATGTTGCAAATTTTCGTTGAAGAAAGCGCCTGATAACACCTCACATAATTTATTCGTTGATTTTTTATTGTTTAATTTTAATTAATTAATATGGAGCTCTGATTTTTGGTTTCCTCCGGACTTCCAAGGATGTCTTTGTTTCATTCTCAAATATGATTATTATTCGATGCTTACAGTTTTGGATATTGCAGTGATTAGAAATGTTTTTTCATCATAGTCGTCGAAGACAAAATAATTATGGAATATATTTGTTGGCATATCAGTTGTTCAATTCACGTAATATTCCACCAGTCACCTTAATTGCTATAATATTTCAAGTGGCGATTTTTCTAGGTTATCTACCTGCCCTTAACCAGCACAGAATAAGTATGTTAGTTGAAAATTGATATTATCTCTGTTTCATAAATTTTTGGTATTTTTCATTTTTTCAGGTGCAAGTTTCAGAATGACCCTATTCGTATTTATCAATTGTAGTGTAAATTATATCATTACTTTTTTCCTTCCATTATGAAACCAATATCAAAACTTACATTGAGTACATAAATGTAGCTGCATTTTGTAAGAGTAAATGTGCATAAAAGATATAGGTGGAAAATTTCAGTAATAAGCAAGTTTTGCAAAAACTGCGAAGAAATTTAATTCTGAAAAACAGAAATACCATTTAATAATTATATCTCATGACCTTAGTCAACTTAATTAATTTTTCATATTTAAAAAAGCTTATAATTTTATTATTCCTTAAAGCGCCAATAATTTTCAGAGGCTATGTGTTTTATGCCATCACGTATATTATATCGATCTGAATGGTTGCGAATGCTTGCATCCACAGTTATGCATGTTGATGATATGCATCTTTATTTTAATATGATCTCATTACTGTGGAAGGTAATTTTTCACTGTTGTAAGATGTAAATCATGATGACATATCGATTTAGATGGTAAAGAAGCATTAGGTCAAAAAAAGGATCTTATTACTTTTCCGCAGCAGCATTTTAATGAATTATACACTAATTTCTGTGTGCTCGAAGTTATTACTAAATTCATTTTTATTATATATTGTAGTTCGTATATTTAAGATAGGTTTATATCATTAGCCGTTCTCTTTATCAACCCAGCGTTGTTGAATTAGATTTAAGTGCCAAATTGAACACATTACTTATAGAATTATTTTTATGAATAATATTACTAATGTCACAATTATTTTAGGGTCGACGTTTGGAGCCTTGGTTAGGCTCGAGACGATTTCTGTTACTTCTGGTGACATTTGCTCTAGCAACAAGCAGTGTTATGATTGGATTAAGCTGTTTAGCTAATGAAGTATTCACTTTTTATGGTGAAGATTATATGAATCAATGCGCTGTTGGTTTTTCCGGTTAGCTGATTGATTTTATTTCAGACTTTTAAGTTGCTTTAAGTAGTATTCACTACGGCACAAATGCTCGTCAGTCAGATGGATTGACGAGCATTTGCCGTAGTGGATACTACTTAATGTGCTCACTTTGTGTTGCCTGAATCAAAACATTTTGGAAAGAAAATCGTTTCAAAATTTGTTTTACAGACATTGTTTTTTGCAGGTGTGCTTTTTGCTTTGAAAGTGCTACATACAACATATTTTCCTTATTCGGATCATAATTTATTTGGATGGCTTCCTGTACCATCACAGTATGCCTGTTGGGCAGAGCTGTTTCTTCTGCAGGTTGATTAAATGTCGATTCATCATAATTTTAAACTTCTGTTTTTATCAATATTTTTAATTATTTTTAATATTTCTCTACTAGTGTGGCTACCCTTCTAGATATTATATTATTTCTAATGATATTATTTCTTTCTAGATATTATTTCTAATGAGGAATTAAATTATGGCATAGTTTAATTTATTCAGATTTAAAAAAATTGAGTTTTCAAAAAATTTCTTCTATAGAGTATGAGTTTTATGTCATTCACTGCAGTGAATATTTGCAGTTAGTGCGCTAAATAATTGAGCAGTTATGGCAACAAAACTTTGTCTAAGTTAAATTCATGTCATGCTAACAAAAGCATAAATTTAATTTCAGATGAAGTTGTTTAAGACTGATATTTTGCAAATCAATTCAAAACTATTTTAAGCTCTAAATTGGTCCATATTTCCACTTCTTTTGAAACCAATAAAATTCAAATTTCATTTTCTTTTTTGAGATGTTAACTCCCAACGCATCATTTATCGGTCATCTTTCGGGCATTATTGTTGGTTTAGCGTATACGATGGGTCCATTGAAAACAGTTGTTGATATTCTAGAAAGCATCGCTTCTCCTTTACTTGGTCAGTTTTCTTTTTCTTTTATTTCTGATGCCTTAAATTTCTATAAAAACTTAAATTTCTTATTGTCATTGTTCATACTCAAATAAATTGCAATGGAAGTGTAAAATTTAAGTTCAATCTCTATTACAATCTCTATTACAGTTAGCAGTCTAAATTATATTTATGAGCAAATCATGTTCTGTATTTTGGACAATTTCAGGTATTATACCGGAATCATTTTCACAGACGAGGGATAGAACGCGGTCAAATAATCGAAGTTGGTTCACTAACTGGGGCTATAGTGGTAGAAACAGAGCTGACCATGAAACCCCTTCGTATGGGTGGCGGAACGAACAAAGTTAATATGTTATTTTGATATTTTAAGACAATATGAGACTCAATATTAGATTATTGTTTGATTCGTTACTTTAATTCATTATTTTAAGCTATTTTCACTTTGCTCTTCATGATGATTATATTAGTAATCTTGCCTCGTTATTATTACTGGATGTCTCAGAATAATCTCCGTTTCCCATCATTCTATGGAAGAGAACTAATTGAATATATTATCACACTTTAAAACTTTCCTGGGATTAAACTCTATAGCTTTAGAAATGTTTAATGAGTGTTTTTTTGTTTTTTGAATTATAATTACTACTATATTTAAATTTTAGGACATTATAACGAGTATACGGGTGGTATGTCGGAAGAAGAGCAGATGTGGAGAGCTACACAGAGAAGTTTATATGAAGATGGATGGCATTCGTCTTTTTTTTGAACAATATCGGCCTTGAATTATCGTGTTTTAGAGCTTCACTCAGAGTTTTTATTACTTATGTCTGAAAAAAAGTGATATGTAGAAACTGATATATGAAATTAAGCAGAAATAATTACATTCAATTTTTTAATTGTATCGATAATTTTAGATTTGTCTGATCAAAACTTTGGAAATTAAACTCACTCATAATTCGAAGAATAGTTTTTCTTCTTTTTACTTAATTGATTAAAGTAACTTTTTCGTTTGTGTTTCATGTAAGGAAAATTTATTCGCATGTAAAAAATTAACTCCATTGCTGTTTCTTGTTGCGTAATTATGTCTTTCTTTGATTCATTGATTTCTTTTATTCAATTTCGAAAGCTATAATTTTGTGTTATAGAANTGTGTTTCATGTAAGGAAAATTTATTCGCATGTAAAAAATTAACTCCATTGCTGTTTCTTGTTGCGTAATTATGTCTTTCTTTGATTCATTGATTTCTTTTATTCAATTTCGAAAGCTATAATTTTGTGTTATAGAATTATTGCTTTGAAAGAATTGAAGCTGATCAAGATAAGGAAAGAATTGGTTATAACTTGTTGATAAAAAAAAATGACATTTTTTTTGCTTGTATCACTTATGCAATTTTTGTCTAGTTTTGTATGCCGGGTATAATGTATAAAATCATATGCTACAATTTGTGTTTCATTCATCATTTCCTCTATGGACCAATCAAAAAATTAGAAAACATCATGTAATAGTTTCTATGAAAATTTTAGATGAATAATTGCTGGTTCGCGAATATTGCCGTGCGGTGGGGCCAAAAGTATTCGGAATGTTCTACTACTACGGAGATGGTTATTACTATCATCATTACGTTCCATACGGTGGCGGATTACTCTTCACACTAATGATTCTTCTTATCTGTTGTTGCTGCATGTTAAGCGCAACCGAAGTTCCTCCATACGGTTATTATTATGATTGCATGTGTTGTGGACCATGTATTCACTGTCGTCCTTTTCGGCATCGTCAACATCATCTAGATCCCGTTATTATCGTATAACAATCAGGTATAAATTCATTACCTATTTGATTTAAAAATTATTAAAAAGAACGATAATAATTGGATACTTCTTTTTAAAAAAAAATGTAGAAAATGGATTCATATAATACATATAATATATTTTTTATCTATTGTTGCTGCATGTTAAGCACAACCAAAGTTGAGGAAAGGTAGTGATTTAGCATGAAAGTATCGAATAATTTTGTATTTTCTTCAATCGAAAAAATAAGAAAGTTTTAAAAAGTGAACATTTTATAGATACAAAAGAAGAAAATAACTATTCGTCGAATATATATAAACTCAGAGTTGAAACAAAAAAGAATTAAAATTTAATTTCATTAATTCATTAATAAATATTGTAAATTGTTATCATTAAATTTTCTATTCAGTTCACAATTATTTTCTTTCTCTCATTTTTATAAATTTAAAGAAGAACTATAGATTATCGCATTTTTCTTTTACATATTCGAAAATAAATTCAAACATATTAATATAATAATGTTATAAGCGAAAAAAAGTAGTGATTTAGTTTTTCCTTTTTTGCGACTTTTTGCGACAATGAATAAATCGACGACAAAGATTCCTTTCATTCTGTCTAAAAGATAAATAACTTTCATCAATATTGTCTACCTTTAAACTCTTCCAATGCACCAATTGCATTCTTCTTCTCCTCCTCCTGTACTTTAATCTATGAAGTTGTAATTGCCATTGTTTATTGAACATGTGAAATGCAGGTGATAAGCATGCAATGGAAAAATTATGTCATGAAATCGGTCATTGAAAAAAATAAATAATTTTGATTTATTGCTAATTCAAAAATTCGAATCATTTATCACTTATTGCTCAGATTGATAGAGATATTATCAGATAAGAATCAAAAAAGTACTCTTTCAAATAATCAACGATAGAAAGATATATAATGATATTTCACTTTCCATAAAATATTAATCGAATTCGATTCTAAAAATAATTTAATAATTAATTGCTTTCAATTAACAAATTTTAATGTAAAATTAAGAATGAGAACAAAAAAATAAGATAATATGAATGTTTTGAATAGGAAGAAAGAATATATTATGTTGTTAAAATGAAAAAGTGGTCAAGGTGAACGACAAGTTATCTGTCGTTTTTACGACAAATTAAATGAGACAACTAACTTTCTCCCCATTAATTTACATCATCTATCATTCATTTATGGTGGATAACATTTCTGAAAAATCATAATCACAATAATATCCGATCAAATTCACTAATAAATCAATGATTTAAAATTAGCGATATATATTTTATTGCAAGTGCATGACGAAATAAAAGACAATGCTTTCCAAAACTTCTTATCATATCACTTACTTTCGATCATCTTATACTTCTTTCTTTAAATTTGAAAAATTTTAAACCTTTTTTCTTCTTATAATTTAAATCTTTTCTTTTGCATTTTTTCTCTAGCCAGTCGTTTAAAATTGTTTTTTTTTCTTCCCTGCTAATTACATAATATCTGCTAAATGAATGATAATAATTTGATTAAATTTATTGAAAGGAAAGAAATTGTTATCACTTATCACTTCGTCAATGTTTTGTTTTAAAAAATGAGAAATGAAAATATACTGTTTTAATTCATCTAATCAGTACTGTCTTTGTAACTTATCTTCCTTTATCTTCTGCATAATTATTTGTATTACATTGGTAAAGATTTGAAACTTTCAAATTGAACAACCAATTTTTTTCACTTTAATTTATTGTTATAAAATTACAGTATCTGAACTATTGCATTAATTTTTCAGTAGTTCAATAGTAGAAAGATAAAAAGGATGAAAATTTGAACTGTTAAATTATGAAAATAGTCGGAATGAAGTAAATTAACAATATCAATTTAACATGTTTGCTTTATTTATAGCTTCTAATTTTTATTATTAAATTAATTGACAGATTGATTTTGTTGCAAAAGTCTTACAGTAACAAGTACATGCTGAATTTACCGCAAAAGCCTTACAGTAACAAATACCTGCTGAATAATCGAATCGTTTGATACGATTATTGGCCTGATTCATCATCGCAAATATGGTGATCCTTTTGATGTACATGCTGAATAATCGAATCGTTTGATACGGTTATTGGTCTGATTCATCACAATTATGATTCTTTTGATCAGAGAAATTCAATTAGTTCATCAATAATAAATATCATATCATTTGATGGAAATGTTTGGTGGAAGTATTTTCGATGATTCAATACAATCTTACTAATAATTGTTATTATCGAGAGTATTTAATGAGTGCATATTTAATATATATATATATCAAATACTTTTATCTTGCATGAAATATTTTACTAACGTTTCTTTTGTTAACTATAACAATTTCAATTATTGTTTAATAACAACAACTAACCCTACAACAGTTAAATTTAACGAATAAAGAGATTATTTCATTTCTCTTATTCAAAAAAAGCTAGATTTCTGATATGAAAAAATTTTTCTCTTTTAACTTTTAATTTTTAATTTTTTTAATTTAAATTTTTTCACCAATGATCTTTACTGATACTCATCGTATCTTCTGATATGACTGAAAAGATAGATAAAATAGATTATCATAATAGATAAGAGTGACAAGATAACGATAGAGAAAATGTAATTAGCTAAATGAAGAAAATGAAAATTATAATTAAAATTTTCCAATATAAATTTTTATTGATTTAATTACAACAAGAAAAGAGGTTAACACATAAATTATCATTTATCTTTCTTTACTTGCATTATTGATATTTCAATACGGCATTTTATATCTTTCAAATTAAGAGTGACTTATTATCAAATTTTGCTACATCCTATATCCTTAATCTCTCTCTCTCTCTCTGTTAGTTGACAGTGTAATGCGATGCTTTTAACATTTCCCTCCGTTTCCGTCCTTATAGATTATCAATCCTTTCCTTCCAACTCTTATAACATTGTAAAATTGGAATTCAGTTATTGGAAATATTATAGAAAGATGAAGAAATAGGTTTTGCATTTATTAATTGGAAAAAAAAATGATTAGCTTTATTTGACATAACTCTAATCCCTTTCTGTTCTCACAAATAATGAAAAGAGGAAGAGAGAGAGAGAGAGAGAGAGAGCGAGAAAGAAAGAGAAAGATTATTTATGAGAAGTTCAAATAAGGGATTAGACGTTGATTTGAAAATGTGCTGTTGTAGCGGTTGCAAGCCTTTTTGAAGTCGCGAGAGATGCTAACCGATCGATTAGGAATAATGAAAGAAACGGACGGGTAAGTACTATTTATATGTCTATAATTTACTTAGGCCTGTTCCCATTCTTGGATATCGTCTTTTTTCATTCCCAATCAACTAGACTGTCATCTGATTATTCCTATTCAAGAAGTAGATTACATATCTGAATGTTACATTCAACACAACTAACCATTAATTTACAACAATTTTTCATTGTCCATTTATGCAAATGGTCAATGCAATGGAATTTGCTAGTAAGAAAATAAATTTGTAAATTACTTTCATATTTCATCGAACAAAATTCTTATTTCCATCATCTTATTGCAAAAAAAAAAGTTGTATGATGATAATGATAAATGTATCAAATTTTTATTCAGATCATTTACACATTTCACTTATCATTATAATTTATCAATTTATTATCATTTTATACTTATACATTTATCGTTTTATACTTATACTTTATCTATTAAATACTATATAGTATTTAGTTGAAAAATTGGAGACCAATTGGATTTATATTTATCTTATTCTTATAATAATTACAGATTTTGATATCGTTGCAGTATAATTGATAAGATGATAATAAATGTGTTAAATTTATCATACATTAACTTGCAATGATTTCATTACTGCTGCAAATTCATTCTCTTTCTGATACAAACGTCATCTTTAGCTATTGCACGAAAAAAATGTATTTGATAATATCGTGAAAGGATCGCGAAGAATGCAAATAAACGATGTGACTAAACATAATAAAACATTTTTAATTTAATTTTCCATTTCTATCTCTTCTCCCAAAATCCATTTCATTCATCTGTAAATCACATTTGTTGGAATTACCACCATGAGTTCATTTTTTTCATCTGTCGAAAATTTGATTCATTAATTATCATATCTTTATCTTTATCATTTCACTTACTCATATTTAATTCATCTGTAAATAATACTGAATACATTTCATTTTCTATTTCACATTTGTTGAAATTATCATCATGAGCTCTTTTTTTATCTGTCGAAAATTTGGTTCGTTATTATAATTATCATATCTTTATCTTTATCATTTTACTAACTCATATTCAATTCATCTGTAAATAATACTGATACTAAATTTTTCAATCTCTTATTAATACTTTTTTCTTCACGAATGAGAAAATCTTCCTTTTTCTTATTCTTATAAGATAATTAATTTATAAGATAATTAATTAACATTCGTATTTCTGTTATGAATTTTTTTAAACTATCAATTTTTATTGATATTTCATTCGTAAAATTTAACTTTTTTTTTCAGATAATTTTATTGATATTTCGTTGTTTTTTTTTTCAAATATTTAATTTTACAATTTTAATTACTTAATTAGTAAATAAAGAAAAGAAGAAGTGACTATATGTAAATTTTTCAACGCTAAATACTTTCTCTCGTTCTTTTTACTTTATTTTTCTAAAATATCAAAAAGTTTTTTTTAAGAGGATTGAGAAGGATGAAAAAGAATGTTTGGCTAACAATTTCTATCATTCAGTCTTCTTATCTTTCTCGTTTTTCCACTATATTCTTCTCTATCATTACTCTAATCTTTAACATAAATTGATTAGCTTCAATTTCTCACTTCTCTTTTTACTTCAAAATTTAAAACGCTTTTATATTTTGACTGATATATGTAGAATGGATTCATTTTTTCTTTAAAACAATCATCATCGTTTTATCATATAAATGTATGTATGTATCATAAACATGATATGATACATTCTTAGTTAAAATATTTCGAAAATTTATTCTACATTCATTATTCCTTTTGTTTTTTTTGTTGAAATGAGCGCCTTGTGATCTTGCATTTTATGCTGAAAATTCTTAGCTAAAAGGATCAAATTATCATCATTGATAACATGATCCTTTGACCCTGAGAAATTTCTGCAATATTTATTTCTTTATCAATCAATGATATTTATGTCAATGCAATGAAATTATTTTTGTTAATAATTCTTACAACTTTGATCTTTATTTCGTTTTATAATTTACAATAGGTTAATAATGTCTAATTTTAAAATAATTTTGCACTTTAGGGAGAATATTTTTTCATCTTTGTCTGATTGCTTATCTTATATGTTATCCTAAAATGGATCGTATCATTTGATTGATATTTACTAATAGTTGCATTACTGATCTTAATATATTCTGTCATATGAATAGGCTATATTTTTGATAGTTAGGTTATTAGTCCTGATATTGCTAAGCTCTGATATTGATAACTGTATTTCTCTTGTTCCTGATTTCCAATTATTAAAAATACTCTCATATATAATAATATATTATTTAGGCCATAACATTTTATTTAGTCCATTTGCTTGCTAAATTTCCAGTGATAATTTAATTTGTAAGTAATGCTTTGATTAAAGGGAATTATTTAATAACTGATATCATTTGTATAATTGTTAAATAAGTAATCATCACAATAAAAAGTGATATGATAAATAGTCGAAGTTATCATTCAATTGTATTCTCTCCAATTTTTCGTCTTTGTTCAAGTCGAGAAATATCATATCACACTCAATCTCGATGAAAAAAATATACCACCTTTATTAGTATTTTCCGCATTTCTATTGTGAGATCTAAAATACTATCGGGGATTTGTTTCATTCTCTTAATTTCATTTAGAAATTTTCGACAAAATAAATGCCCTCAAGGCTTTCAAGATACCAGTCTATTGCTTTTTATTAAATAAAGAAAAATTTATGATCTTCACAGGTAGTTGTTTATTCTAGTAAACCAAGATTTCGATAAAAATAATCCGCACAAATCAGAAGTCATCTGAGTAAAGCATTAAAAAAATTGATGAAATTTTTATATAAGAGAGAGAAAGAAGGAGAGGGAGAGAGAGAGAGAGGAATTTAAATGTTATTTAATTAAAAAAAAACGTAAACAATCGAAGTGATAATTCATAATTTTCTCTTATTGTTTTTTATCAATTAATCATATTTTTCAAAAAATTTATCAAAGTTGTAGGAATTTTCATTGTTTACAGCTACCTTTATTGATTATTCTTCTATCAATATCAATATAAAATGAAATTTTCTAATAAATTTGCATACAACTTTAATCCTATGTCATCATTAACTGAGAGAGAGAGAGAGAGAGAGAAAGAGATGATGATGATGATGATGATTCATACATGATTATTATTATTATTCCTATGAACAATTAATTATTCCTCACAAATTAATTATACAATTTCAATCGATGTCAAATTTTTTGCAAAAGAACAAAGAATATCTCAAAGTGTTTTTTTTAATAGTAATTGTATTGTATTTAATCTTGTGAAATATTACGAAAGGTAATATTTACCTGATACAAATTGTTTATTTGTCTGATTTGAATAAATACATTTAAATGTTTCCGACGTTATTATCAAAAATTCATGCAAAAATATTTTTTGCATTTTCTGCAAAACATTTTTATGAAATATATAATATAACAGGAAATAATGAATTACTGCGTATGAATTCGTAAATTTATTCTAATCCAGTCATTCATTTCATTTGAGAAATATAAGCTTTGAAATATTAATTAAATTAAACTAATTAAATTTCTTATATTTTACATTTTCATTTAATATCTTTTATTTTATCTCTATTTTTGAAATATTATTTCATTGCTGATTTTATAAATGTTATAGAAAATGGGTGTATATATATAAATTACTTTAAATAATTTATCTAAAATTTATAAAAAAAAAGTTATAAACAATTGTTGTATATGAAGTATTATATTTCTTTACACGTTATCACTCATTATCATTCAGTTTAATTTCAGACAACACTTCTTTGATGGAAAATGCTTCAGTAATATGCGATCAATTATAGTGATGTTACGGAAATGTGGTTCAATGAGGTCATCAAATGTTGTTTAAAACGATGGTAAATTCATTTATTTCATATCTTTGCTATTAGTAGCATTATTTTCATCGTACATTAGGGATTAATATATTCTACGTGAAAGATTTCAATTAAACAACTCAAAGTTAATTTCTAAAATTCTTTTTTTTAATACAACAATTTTAACTCTTTTTCATTCATTGTTGAAGTACGAAAATAGTATATGAACCTGATTGATTTCTCTCATACCGTATGATCGTTTCTGAGAAAGTATTCCAGAAATATTCCGAAAAACGATTTTTCATATGATTTCTGTGATAGTCCGTGAAAATTATAGAATAAGAATGATTTAGCAATTTTTGATTTTTGATGAGCAATGAAGTGTTTGTTGTTTGTTCCACTTCTTCCAACTAATAGATGTTAATTAAGAAAAAAACGAAATTAAGTATTGATGAATAGTTGAAAATTTCTTACAAATTACATTCAACTAAGCAATCAGTAACATTCCATAAAATGATACGAGCGTTAAGTGGTTGTTATCAGGACATCGATATTATTAGAATTGATGAAAATAATACCATCAGATGTAAATTGTCTACTTTTTTTAATATATGTATGTATGTGTATGTATGTATGTATGTGTGTATGTGAATGTGTATGTGTGGGTGGTTGGATGGGTGGGTGGATGGGTGGGTACATATATGTAGACTGTCAGTGTACAGTTAACTGGGCTGTTTCATATCTTTTCTCTATTATTTGCTGTTCATAATGCACTTTTCCTCCGAAATACTCTCTTATTTGATTTGAAAAATTTGTCCTGATATTACATTTAATTAACATTGACCTGAAAGCAAAATTATTGGTTAATGTGACCTGAGTTAACCTTAAATCTGATTAAACATATGCTATCAGTGAAGTTCATTTTATACTTCAGAATATTGTTGAAACAAATATACTTGATTATTTGTCAATTATTTTTATATTATCCTTTTACAAAAATTAAATTTTTGTAATGGCTAAAAATGATTCATTAACACCTGAAACATCCGTATTTCATACCACTTATAAAAATGATCGTTCATCAGCTATATGCGCAACTGTACCTGTATCAACAATAACTACTATTGCTACTTGTCCTGAAAACAAAGTATGTATTCTCCAGCCGACCACTTTATTGATCCACGGTACGTTACCTTTAAATGACGATAAGAAGGATGATGATGATACAACGATTCTTAATGGTATACAACAACAAAAACAATCTAAGAAATCGCTTGTTGAAACATCTTGTGATGTAAAGAAATCAGAAATAAGATGTGGTTTTTGCAATGGTACACGTTACATCATACTTCTTATATCAGTTCTAAGTTTGACCGCTACACGTTCAAACGAGATGACCTTCAATATAGCCGTTGTTTGCATGACATCAAATACCAGTGTTGAAGGGGTTAGATTTTTAATTTTACTTCCTCACTTAAAATGTTTCACACTGTTTTATTTATTTATTTACTTTTTTCATATGTATAAATTAAATAGTAATTTAGATAAAGATTTGAAGAGCTTTAAATTTTGAAATTTTATCAAAAATTAAAACAGTTTTCAAATTTTTTCAAATTCTTATCTTTCAGTATTTTTGATGAATTCAAAAAATTATTTTAAGGTGGAATCAATAAAAATATCACCTCGCGAAACGAGTGTGATATTTGCGGGAGGTGGTATAGGTGCGATAATATTCACATTACCAATCGCTTATGCACTTCATCATTTCGGATCACAGATCATTTTTAGCATTCTTCTTCTTTTTTCTTCATTTGGTACAGCATTAATGCCATTTGCCGCACGTAATGGTGTTCCATGGATGGTATGTGTTCGTATTGTGCAAGGTATCTTCACGTTTACGTCATTTCACGTTATGATTAAAATCAAAAGTATTATTTTCTTCGAAAATATGGTTTCTATTAATTTTTGATCAAGTATCATTTAGCAAATTTAATGCAAAATTATTAATAAATTGTTATAGTATTAATTTATAGAAGGAAGTGTATTAATCAATCGATATTCTATATTTAAATATTTAATACTGATAATTTCAAGAAAAAAAGAAAAGAAATTATGACAATGTAGAAAGAAAAGAAAACTTACAATAGTATAGTTAACGAATAAGTTCATAAAGTTAGCTGATATTAAAATACTTCAAAGATACTTTATAAATTTCATTTTTTTTTCTGTTTACTAATTTCAACAACTTTCAAAAATTATAGGTATAGCTTTCGCTTCAGCTATGCCGCTGATCGGTTGTGTTAGCGCAAATTGGGCTCCTATCGCAGAGATCGGTAAATTGCTCAAATTGATCACACTTACCTCCTACCGGATTCATCATAACCATAATATTTCATATATTACTCGTCTTTCTTTTTTGAACGTATTGCGAATTTTAGTTAGAAGATTATATTGAAAAGAAAATTTGAAAATTATGGATTAAACAAAAATGATTGTTAATTTTGTTGCAAACATATGTTTATGTTATAAATTTAAAATTTCAGGTAAATTCTTGAGTTTACTCTCATTAGGCAGTCAATTGTCACAGATTGTTACGATGCCATTAGCGGCACATTTATGTGTCAAATTTGGATGGCCTTCTGCCTTCTATGCACCAGCACTTATATCTGCCACTTTAGCATTTATATTTTTTGCTTTTTATCGTCATGATCCCACGAAACATCCATGCGTTACTTCCGACGAGATACTTCTTATAGCGGATGGAAGTTAGCTTTTTGATAAAACTTCTGATTTACAAATCAATGTGTAATTATTATCACTTACTATATTGAATTATTGAATAATAAATTTCAGCTAATTAATTATTGGAAGAATTTTAAGTTTGATTTCTGTCGTTGTAATGCAATAAATTAATTTAACTGTCAATGTTTAGGGTATAAAATTCCAATTTAGTTCCTGTAATAAATCATTTTCTAAAAAAAGGACAGCTAAATGAAAAAATATTACTTTTATTTCGTCAACTGTCACATATAACACAGTTCCATCATTATGCTTATATTCTTACTTCTTTTATCATAAATGAAACTAGTAAATTTTGGCTTCTTTTCATTTCTAATTAATCTATCTTATAAAATATACTTATACTTTGAAACATTAAATGGAACTAGCAAATTAAAATATACTTATACTTTGAAACATTAAATGAAACTAGCAAATTGAAAAAATCTTTTTATAGTATCATCTTAATTTGATGGTATAATTTTTGCACCCAATTTAATTATGATCACCTTGATCTATAATTAGACAATACTGTTAGCAACCATAAATTCTTATTGCTTCTGTCCATGATCAAGAGATTTTGTAAAATTTATTCTGCCACTTCAAATTTATTATTTCAAGCATTCGATCATAATACACGTCTTGGTATTGACTTTATTCCAATTATAGATAACCACAGATTAATTTGCAAGGGATATCGATGATGCTAACGTCCACTCTGTTCAATTTAATATATCCTGTTATTAGATGCTTGACTAGAATACTTTTGTCATAGGGATTTCCTGTCCAATCAAATGTCATATTATTTCTCCGTTTACCATTTTAGGAGATAACGAATTTAAACACTTCGAATTTGATTCGAATACTTAATCCTTAATCTCTGGAGTGGTTACTTTTGCGCATATATTATATGCTGTAAGTTAATTTTTTTACAGCACAACGTAAGGATCGCAAAGAGATCTCAGTACCTTATCGATCTATTGCAACCAGTCGTTCTGTTTGGGCCATATGGATTGCGTTTTTGGGCAATTCATTTGGATATCAACTTGTTGTTCAGTATGTTTTATTTTATAATGTATAATTTCTCAATTGTTAATTGAAATTTTTGGGGTAGATTTGAATTAATCAATTTCATCGCTTTAAATATTAGAGTCTGTATAAGTGTTTTTAAGAATATTATAGGCATATCAACATGTTGTAATATTAAATTGTACAAATGAGGAATAGATATCCCACCAAAAGTTATGATAGGTCATGTTAAGACTAAAAATTGAAAATATATATAATCGATGTATACAATCCAAAAATTTATCATTATTTTAAATAGTTTAATTTTTAACCATTTCACTGAGCTTTTTAGGAAATGTCAGTAATAACTTATAAGTTGTGAATTCGATTATTTGTAGATTTATGCCAACATATCTGAACAAAACTTTGGCAGTTCCAATCGAGCGAACTGGTCTGTCAACAACATTACCACCTTTTGTCCAGTTATTTGTTAAAATAGTCGCTGGTATTCTTTCTGATAAAATAACTTGCATTTCGGTAAGTTCATCAAATATGTTGAAAGATTTCATATATTTCATGTTTTTAGTGCAATTATGTCCAATTATAATTGCACTAAAAAAAAATTAATTACTAAGGTTTTTAATATAAGTGTATATAGTAGGTTTGAATTTATAATTCTGTTGTTAATTACTTAGAACTGGAAATCATTAATTGAATTAAATTGGAATTGTTTGAAAATGAAAATTATTGCCATGATGCATAAGTTCGTATGGAATAATACTCTTCAAATACCTGAATAGTGCTATTTAAATATTCGATATCTTAACAAATGAAAATGATCCAATGTGTAACTGTCTACAGGAAGTTAACTCCAAACGACATAAACTGCTACAAATACCAAATTATTATTATTATTAATTAGTAAATGAATGTTTTACAGGAAAAGCTTAAGCTTCAATTATTTAATACGATAGCAATGGTAGGATGCGCTTTATTTCTGATACCGCTTGGCTTTCTAAATCCAGATCATGTTGGAATTGCTCTACTTTCATTTACGGGTGCTGTAAGTTGTATTGGATTAATTGCTAGTGGTTCTATGAAATCAGCTCCATTAATTGCTCGCACATTTACCGAATTTATTATGGCTGTTGTTCAAGTTTGTTCTTTACTTTTTATTATTAATGAATTCAATGATATTTGATAAATTTTGGAAGATTGTCAGAATGCCAATCATCAACTGAGAATGAGACGATTAGGTACATGCGATCAAAAATTTTTAAATAAGCCAGCATTGTGGTATCACATATTGGTTCTTTAGTATGATACATTCCTGATTATCAAAGTAGATAAATTTATACCAATGATATCCGATAGCATTCTCTTAATTGAGTCCAGGATTCAACTGTGTAACTAAGTTGCATTGACCCGACTGGTATTGTTATACTGACAGTTTAAATCATTTGAAAAGTTCCATTCCTCCATACTACAGGATTTCAAGTTTCTTCTTTTTATGAACAATTCACAAAAATTATGAAACTTGTTGAAAGGAAATGATTATTAATTTCTTATCAAAAATGGAGATAATATTTTTTAATATAAATGAATAAAATATTTATTGCAGCTAGTAATATGTATCAGTATGCTTTTGGTACCATTTATGGTCAGTACATTAGCACCGAATAATACCATACAAGAATGGCGCTATATCGTATTTGCGACAGCTTTCATTTTAATACTATCTAATGCAATATTTTGCTGGCTGTGTAGCGCCGAACCAGAACCTTGGGCTTTGCTTGTTGAAGAGAAATCTGGAAATAATTGTGAAGCCAAAGAGAAATTAAGTCAGGAAGATATAGTTTAAGTGTTAATGTTTTATGATATCAAATTATATTATAAACTATCAGTAGGAGAGTTAGATTTTAGAAAGTATTTACAAATTTTGTTTGTATTACTTATAGTGTCACGTTTGAGAGAAATGTTATATGCATTGTTTATTTGTTCAATTGTGTTTCTTTATTCATTATACATGCCCTGTTTTTTGCTCCTACCAGTTGAAATGTATTGCTATAACCTTTGGCCATAACATATCCGAAGTTTTGGATGAGATTATGAAAGAAAAAATTATTAAATTGTGAATTATTGAATTATGAATATCTTGAAGATATTCATAATAGATTAGAAAATCTCTTCAAAAGATCTCCAATAGGAATTTTCCTAAAAAAACAATGGAAAAGATCCATAACAGAATTAAAAATCTCCTGGGAGTTGTCAGAAATCTTCTTGGAAACGCCTAATCCGACATGCTACATCGTTAAAAGCTTAGGACTTAAATTCTTAATTTTGTTATACTTTGTGCAACTTGCTGATAATATTTTTTTATATGCGTATTGTTTGTAGCAATATTTGACAAACTGTAATGGATTTTGAAATATTTTGCTGTTTGATGTTATCATGTGCATGTTATGTTATAACTTTTGATTTAGTTCAATTCTCTGTTTAATTAATTTGTGCAAAATTAATCAAAGAATCGTTTTCTCTGGCTCATCATCTTTTTATTATAATTAAGTACAAAATTAGATCCTCCACAGTTTCACCTCATACCTTCTACCCTTTCTCTTAATCACTTATCCTTTCCTCTTTAAAAACCATGTCCTACTTTTATTTTCATTTAAATGAAAAGTTATATCTTTTACATAATGCTGAGTCTTTCAATAATTCCTCTGTAATTATTCGAATAAATTATATCCTAATTTATTCGTAGTACGGGAGAAAACCAGAACTTCCATTGAAAACTATACACTTGGGCCAACGAAAAGTGATGGTGGGATTTAAAAATTTGATTTAGCTATTAATTGGGGTAACATCTGCGGTCATTTAATTATATATGTATATAAAAACTCATGCTCTTTATATTTGTTGATTATTGTATGTTTTTCTTGAAATTTAAATAAGATTTGAAAGATTTGGTGTATGTAAACATCGGGAGAGAAGGGAATGACGGTTCAACATCTTTCGAGACAAACTTTAGCTCCTTGAGATTTAACTTTTCTTTCTTTAATAAAGTGTCATCAATACCTCTTTGCGTTATTTAGAAGGTAACTTTGTTGTTCTTGAACTACCGGGGTGCAGTCTTCTTTGTCAACGGAGAAAGTTACTTTGGATGTCCGGAATGGGAAATAACTTATATAAATTTATAAATTTACCTCCACGTCCTCATATCGAAAAAAACCCATCTGCCCTCAAACTAGTTGCTTCATTCACGGCATTTAGTTTGACCATGTTGTTGGTCCGTGGCCCGCCGTCCTATGTCTCGCTATGTATCGGTACGTTTCGATTGTTGGAGAAGTTGTGGTGACCTAAGGTTCCATTTCCTGCTCCTTTTTTGGGTTTTAAATTGAAGCCCAAAGATCGCCTCCTTGTTTACGATTCAAAGTTCCTCTTTCCTCATCTCTCATCTTCCTCATCGTTGACCTTTCTCTTTTATGACCTTTTTGATCTCCGACCTTTATTATGTATAATCCTAAAGATATTCCCACCTATGACATAAAAAAATTCTTCTCAGTTATCATGTGAAGTATTTCTTCGTGTTACCTACTCCTTTGTAATTCAATTCTTCTGATATTGACTTGCCATCAAAACACAGCGATGACGTCTGGTTGGAATGACGTCTCAACATAGTATTGCATCTGGATGACGTATATTTATAAATGACGGGTATAGACAGGAGTTAAATCATGTAATCAAAAAGTACATAATGAATATCAGCTTGTTATGTTTCAATATTCAAATTTGCTTATCTTATAGGAACAAGGGTATAGCTAGCAGCTGTTCGATATGCGTTCATCGACAAGGTAAAATAAATTGACAAATTGACAAATTTTTTTGTATCGAAAATCGTTTAAGTACATTCTATTGTCTCCCAAATCCACCATTTTCCAGTATATTTCCTGGCCCATAAGAGATTAGAATAAGAGTTGGTGGGTAAATACTCTATCCTTGCTTCTTGATTTAATAGACTAAAGCGTTTCTGTCAATACGGGCCGTTGTTGTCTGATCTAATAATTGTCACACTATAAAACATACAACTTTGTTTGATTCAAACCAATTGTTTAGAAAATAAAAATTTGACACATTTCAATAAGATTTATTTTAGTAATAGTAGTGCTCGAAGAACGCTCACGACATCTGCTTCAAATAGTTCAGTTCCTAATCAGAAAGATCAAAAAAGTTGTAATGTTGCGATAAATGGGTACGACATTGAATCTACTAATAAGGTGAAAATTCTATATTCTTGCTCACAGCTATCTATAAGTCAAATAGAGCTCACTTTCGTTATCAAATTATCGATCTCATCACAGAAAGACGTGGATATCATTCGAAAATTTTTGTAATTTTATAACATAGATTTAGGTTTGAGTTTCGTTGGTGTCATTTGGCGTAAAAAGATGTTTTAGTCTTGTGAGAAAGAAATTATACATAGAGAACTTACTAGCAAAATGAACTGAATGAATCACCGAATATATTTATTTGCTTTGCTTGAATTTAAAGAACCAGCAAGAGGGAGTGGAGATGGAAGACGAAGGAAGTAATGATTCAAAGCGCGTACGTCATCATCGTGAATCAGCAGAAGTTGCTAGAAAACGATTGAAGTTGGATCTAAAAAGCTCTGTTGATCGTGGAATTGTTGAAGTAAGCTCTTTATCAAAAATAGAAAATAACGTTTCTTATACTAACAGAAACAGTTCTTTTTTAGCTACTATAAGTTTATACAAACTAGAACAATTCAGAACTTTTAATTTACCTATACCACAATCTTTTGATAAACAATCTTACTTCACTTAACTGCAAACTGTCGCTAAAATGCAATAAGGAACTTTAGCTATCTGCTTCAACTACTGATAAAGTATCACATTTTGGTATTACAACTCGTTTACAGCCAAAATTTACACTGAGCAGATTTTTTGAAAATTGCAAACTGCCTTTTAAATCTTGATAAATTTAATAAAGTTACGATTTCTATTTTTATTTTAAAGAATGGTTCAGAATCGAATGAATCAAGAGAGGGTTCTTGTGAACGTAATGATTGTGGTCATTTGAAAAAATGTGCTTTGGATATTTCACCCCTGTAAGCTAATTTTATTTTTGTTTTATTTGGAGTGCGGCATTTTGACTGGTAAACAGGTCAAATAGTACAGTTTAATTTGGTTATCTAAGCTTTTCTTAGGAAAACTTATGTTTAACGGATAATCTACGCGTTTTACTAAGTGCTGGCTTCCTGGCATGCTGATAAATTGAGTTTAAAATCTTTCCGTACATGCGTTGTTGTGATGAAAATAGTTATAATTTGCTGAAAATTTTCAACAACTTTAAGCAGTGATTGATTTCTCGAGGAATTCCTGATGTTAATTTGGATTATAGATTTCGCAAAAAAATTTTGACCATGGCGTTTTTCATATAATTTTTGCACATTTCAGGTGCTATGGACGTGAAAATAGTAGAAGTACACATCATACAGATGGAAATTATAACAAAACTTTTCACCACATTTCGAAGGGCGAGCATGTTTGTTGTGCATGTTATGATGAAATATGGAAATCGTAGGTTCTAATTTAATATTGCTTCAGTTACATTGCAACTTAAATTGTTTTGCACAAAACAATTTTTGTTGAATAAATAATTAAAACAAATTTAGCGGTCGAACTGGTAATGATCGTTTTAATGAGTGGAAAGGAAAATGGGCTTCTGAAAGTCGTTGCACCCCATGTATACGATTGTACATTCAGGATCAGTTACTTCCATTTTGGTTGCAATGCAAACTTTGCAAAAAGTTCAGGTAAGTTCTTACAAAAACTTTTCAAAATTTTTGTCTATTTTGGCGATTCCAGAACAATCTACTGAAGAAAGGAAATTTTTTCGTTCATGGACAGAATGTATTTTAAGGATTGCGGGGAATTTTTTTTGAAATAGAGATAAAGTTAAACTTCCATCCTAAATTAAATTCGTTCTAGCTAAGAATTCACACGTTCACTAAACTTTTTCAGACATTTGCCTACTACTGTGAGGAGTATAAACCGTGAGGACGTCGAGAGATTTATTTGTGGTAGTCATACCGAAGCCGATAAAGGTGGTACAAATTACTCATGTGACGTTGAAGAGGAAGAGGTACTGTGTTGTCTCTTTCATTTGTTTGAAGCTTTGTGTGTTCATTATCTTTAATGTCACAAGTTTGATGGTTGCTTTTAAATTGTTGGGACAAGTTTAATTTTTCGTTTGTTAAATTAAATTTTTAGTGTGTTCAAGAGGCTTCCGAAACGTTATGGATAAAGTCGGTCAGCATTCCACCCTTATTGCATAATTCACCTGCAGCTCCGTTTTTGCGACATGAATATTACTATGATGAAGTAGGAATTAGTCCTACTAATGAAATATTTGAACATGAAAGTGGTAATTCTTTTTCAAGTTTTAAAGAAAAATTCTGTTAAAAAGAATAAAAGATTAGTGTTGGATAGCGGAATTTTCTTATTAGATGACGGTTGAGCTAATAGGGAAATGTGGAGATCTATTAGTTCCAGTTCCAATAAATTGTTTTTTTATTGAAGAAAAAGAAAAATTATTCAACATATGTGATTATGAATTCTGTTCTTGTATGAGATTGAAAAGACTGTGTATTTGTTTTGTTAAAATCTATTATTACCTGCAACATTAATAATTAATGCTATACACAATTTTATGATATGAGTCATCAAATATTTTATTATTTCTGTACATCTGCTGCCACTACCTTTGATGAACTCCTTAATTATAATTTTTCATGATGATGATTTTCTTAACTGTAATTAATTTGTAATTGGTGAGAAGGTGCAGTACGAGGCTTTATGCGCCCATTCAATATTCCACACGAACAGTCGATGGCATTTTGTTTACGACCAGATGTTATGGAATATGATGAATTACACAGCTTCCCAGAATATGCTACTGAACCAGTTGCTTATTTGGCTATGCGAAATCTTGTCATTGCTTTATGGAATCTCAATCCATTTGTGAGTTTTATGAAGTATATTTCTCCGAAATTGAAAGAGTTTTAATCCAAGAAATTCTAAGTGTTGTGCCATATCCATTACAAATTGTATATGCTACTTCAAATATGCACAATTTTTATTGTTTATATTGAGTTCTATAAAGTTTCGAAAATTTGATTCTTTTAGCAATATTTAACTGTGGAGTACTGCATTCCATACCTGATTTGTCGGGGTCTTGCGCGAGTTTGGTATATTAATGAATTAAATCGTGTTATCAACTTTCTTAATCTTAAGTCTCTTATCAATTATGGTGTGTTAAATTTCCCGAAAACTTCAATGCTCACATCAAAATACAATGTAAGTTACTTAAGTTATTAAACTTCTACTGCAGATGATAAATAAATGATTTAGTGGCGTACCGCTATTAAGAGTATGACATTATCAATTTCAAATTTTCGGCAGCCAATTGAAGTTGTTTTTGTTGATATCTTTTTTTGAATTCAATTTAAAGTTTTTAGGACATGGAAGTGGTCATTGTTGGAGCTGGGATCAGTGGTTTAACTGCGGCTCGACAGCTCCGTTCGTTTGGTGCTCGAGTAAAGGTCCTAGAAGCAAAAGGAAAATTAGGCGGACGACTATTGGTTTCTTATTTTATTCATACTCCGCGAGTTACAGAGAAAAAGTTTCGAAAAAAATTCGTTGAATTAGAAATGTTGAACTGTACTCAGTTAGACTGAATTCCTTTTATATTTTATCAGACTTGCAATTTCAATGATTCTTCCCCTTAGAGCATGAATTTGAGGCTTGCAAGCATTTCAAGACATTACTTTTTAAAATTTACTTGTGGTAGCCTTATCAACAGTAAATTTAATTAAGCAACTTATGTGTTTCTTCGAGGAACGAATAGTGTAATGACTGATAGTTTTTGTAAATATGATGTAAATACATTCTTCACGAATTTTGTGAAGTATTTTTCGATAAGCTTTATTGAACTGTTACCAACTTCTTTTTTTCATCTTTTTAATTTCTAATTTCTCATAGTCTCCATTACCGCTTTCAAATGAATAGAAACAATAATTGCAGGATGATTGGTCGTTGGGCGTTGCAGTTGGCAGCGGTGCGCAACTTATCACTGGAATTATTAACAACCCAATTGTTTTAATGTGCGAACAAGTCTGTTTGTATTTTTTCCTTTCATAAATTCCGAAAGAAAGTGGAAAGTCCTTGAATTTTATTTGTAGTACATGAAATCAATTTTTTGTATTTATCATTATTTTTGAAAGTGCTAGGCTCTCAAATCGTATAAAAATCCTAAAAAAATTGTACAGTTTTAGTGGAATTTTGAAAATATTTTTATTAGGTGCGGTTTTTGGGAGGAAACGTCACAGTCTCTTTTGCAGTACTTAATCTTGCCTGTTTCTCCATTAGTAGTTCTTCCGAAAAGTATACCACACTGCTTAATTTTACATGAGTGTTTTATTTCTTCTAGAAAACGAAAATGTGCTGTGTTGGTGAGAAACTGGTGAGAGAAAGTATGTAGTCGTTGTCAGTGAGTGCAAAAATTTGATTTGGCACAAAAACTGCAGATAGGTGTTGTTTATCGCGCGGTGAAAGACGAATGTCCGTTGTTGGATGCGGGAACTGGAAAACGAGCATCGAGTATTTGTGATCGGATTGTCGATGAACATTTTAATTGTTTGCTGGATTGTTTGGCCGATTGGAAGCAGAATGTAAAAGTTGGTGATGAAAGTCTATACGGTAAATTTCCTACACAATCTTCATATTAAAGGTTCAAACTAAGTCATGCTTGGACATTATTTGACGCAATTGATTGTTTTTAAAGTGCTTTTTGAAGTGGTATTATTATTTTGTAAGAAGGATATAAGCCTTACTAAGGTTTGTAAGTATATATAATGTGAAATTCACTTTATACTCAGAAAGTTTAGTAGATGGTCCTGTACTAAATTTCTGCTGACTTTTTGATCCGATTAGAGTTGGTTTTGTACTAAATTTCTGCTGACTTTTTTGATCTAACTACATTTAAAAAATGAGTACGCTAGAAACTAGGGGATTTCTTTTGTACAGTAACATACCATTTTCATACAGCTATGAAATAAAATTCATTTTTCTTTCTCATAATCTTCCTTGATTTTCAGATCGTATAATGGGTTTGCACAACGCATTCCTAAAAACGACAGGGTTGAAATGGACTGAGGTTGGTGCATTTCTTATTTTTTTCTTTTTGACCCAGCAGTTATCATTGTCGCAAAGACTTTATTGTTTAAAAATCTAGAATATCAGATTTAGCCATTTCACATTATTTATACATACATTCAGTTTAAATTATACCTATTTCTGCATATCTCAGTATTACGCCCTCACCATTCTCGAATTTTTAAGATTTGCAATATATGTGAGTTATTAGCAAGGAAAACAAACAGTCGAATATACGTTGATTGTAAATCAAATTCCTAAACTCATGAAAATTGGTTAGGGAATGAATGTTCGTACCCAGCCATAGCTCAGTTGGTAGAGCGGAGGACTGTAGAGTGAAACGCGGTGATCCTTAGGTCGCTGGTTCGAATCCGGCTGGCTGGAGCTCGAATTTTTCGGCAACCGACTGTTTTAATGGCTGTATTTATTTGTTCTAGCTTAGTGTAAATATGTATTTCTTCTTATTTCTCAAAGGAAAATTTTAGCGATTGAAGCTTGGTAAGAAAGTAGAAACGCATGTCTGGATCCATTTCAAACAGGAATTGGAGAGTCGAGTCTCTTTCATTTCCACTTTTTTAACTTCTATTTTTTAAATTAACGGATTCAAATTTTAATTAAAAAATATACCGAAATAGAAAGGTAAGAAAATGACCACAGATTTATGTTTAACGTTCTAATCAAATCAGGAGGAAGAACGCATGCTACAGTGGCAAATAGGTAACGTGGAATTTTCATGTGGTTCAAAGTTGGATGGAGTTTCGGCTCGTAACTGGGACCAGAATGAAGCAGTAGCACAGTTTGCTGGTGTTCATGCTTTACTAACTGACGGTACCTCGGAGTTAATGCGTCGATTGGCAGAAGGTACCGACATTCGGTGTAATCATGAGGTCAACCTTTCCTGTCGCTTATTTTGAAATTATTGTTAGTTGGTAAAACCGATGAAATTGTAAGGAAATTCATATTTGTTAGTTATAAAAAATAAGGGTGCTTCAGCGAAATATTTGAGACGGGTTTGATATAATGTGTTTATTCAGTCAGTAATTTTCCTTGTCAGTAATTTTAATTTTCAGTTTTTCAACATGCAGTTTAAACTGTATCTGGGAACAGTCTCTTCCTGTATAGGCTGCTTTGAACTCTTAAAGGTTTCTTGAAATTTATTTAGGTTTCAAAAATTGAATGGCTGGGGCGAAAGAAAATTCTCGTTAAATGCAGTAATGGAAAGAAGTATTCATGCGATAAGGTTTCTTCCAATTTTTATTTCAATTTTTGGATTCTCTTTAAGCTTTTAACTTCTTTTAACACTTAAAAAAATTTCATTTTTCAAAGTTTTTCTCACTTCTAATGATAAGAAGAAAGGCTGCATTTAATAATGTAAATTATCTCATAACTTAAGTGCATTCTTGTTATGTTTTTATTTATAGAATAGAGCTAGACTTTTTTCCATTCGGAAGACAGATTTCCTATTGCATTCCAATTGCCCAAAAGTGCTATTCTCAATTTCTTCATTTTTCATTTAGCACTGTTAGTGATAAAAAACATGAGAACAGTGATGTTTTAAACAATTATTTCTTTATTTGAGGTTTTGGTGACTACTCCATTAGCTGTGTTGCAAAAGGAATTAATTACATTTGTTCCTGCCTTACCGCCAACAAAAACGGCAGCTCTAAAGAACTTAGGCGCAGGTCTAATAGAAAAGGTTTGAATTTTACTTCCTTAAAATACGAAAAGGGACTTTTTAACATAAGAAGATCGAAACAAATTTGTGATATAATTTGTGATATGGTTTTGACTGCTAACCTTCAAGCTCTTCTGATGTAATTATTTGAAAGCACTTTGACCCAATGTAAACTATTGATTTATAAAATGACCTTACTTCTTCCTTGATGCTGTTTTCTATAAAGATAATTGTTTGCTTCTGCAACGATGTAAATTTAAATATTTTCAAATTCTACGTTAAATTATTTATCCGATTTTTGTTTTTTAGTCAGTTATATACCAATTTAGGTAGCTGTGAAATTTTCGCGACGTTTCTGGTTGTCCATCTTGAAAAGCGACGGAACGTTGGATTACTTTGGTCATGTACCAAAAAGTGCTGATGAAAGAGGGCTTTTCAATATGTTTTACGATTTCTCAACTCGTGTAAATATTTTCCGTTAATTTCTTAGCTATAAACGCCACCTTTATTCATTCTTATACACTCTCTTCCATCAAAATTTATCTTTTTATAGACTGATACATTATTAACGAATAGCGCCAAACCAGTGCTAAGTTTTGACTTGATCCAAAATTCTGAATCTGGAGCTTGCTGTTTGAATTTATAACTAACTGAAGTCAGTTTAACATTTGACATAGAATATTGGGTAAGTATAAGATAATATATATGACATGCATGACTTTTCAAGCATATTTTGTGCATATCTAATCATATCGGAGAATTTGCAAAATCAGTTATAATCCTTTTAGGGAAATAAAAATCACCATTATGTTCTCATGTCTTATGTATGTGGTGACTCGGTGAATCTAGTAAATGAAAAAAGTGATGTGGAAGTGGTGGACATTTTTGTGGACACTCTTCGCGATATGTTTCCGCAAGAGGTTTAGTTTCTTTATTCAATAAAAATAAGTGGAGTTGTTCTAACTTTCCGAGTTTTTAAATCAGTCGATATTTTCGGATTTGATTTCCTGTGATTATGATTTATTAGTAAATACTTCCTTTAAATCTCGCTTATCATACAAGTAAGACAAATGATGCGGACTTGTAAAATAGGAAGTTAGTGCATAATTGTTTATTTTGTTTGTTAAACAAAATGCGTATTCGTGTGGCAGACACCAATTTTGCCAATTTTTTTCTTATTATGCTCTTGCAGTTGTGAATTTTTCGAATTCCAGAATATCCCTGATCCAGAAGGTTATGTTGTGACACACTGGGGCCGGGATCGTCACATCGGTATGTCATATACTTATGTTCGAGTGGGTGGCAGTGGAGATGATTATGATAGGCTGGCAGAAGATGTTGATGGAAAACTGTTCTTCGCCGGAGAAGTACATTTTTTAAAATTATTTTGGCATGAAATGGACGAAGAAAATCTCTAGTAAATCATATCCTTTTCTGTGAATAAACAAACATTTCGAAAATACATATGAAAATTTAGTATTTGGTTTTTCGTTTTCTTTCTCATTCGTGGTTCTTTATTTCAACTGTTCTTATCAGTTCTTTATTAAAATTTGTTCTTTTCTATGCATATTTAATCATATGTAATTTTTATTTGGTTATTTGGTTTAAAAGCAATTTTCAGGGAACGAATCGTTTCTTCCCACAAACGATGACTGGTGCTTGTGTAAGTGGTCTACGTGAAGCAGGGAAGATTGCAAATAGTTGGCTAAAGCAAACTTCGAATTAGTTTTTGAAAATTGATATGAAATACGCTCATAGAAAGAATTTAGAACGGAAGGTGAACGAAGAGAGGTTTACTGATGATATATATTTAGTATTTTGATCTTATGATATCTTCATGAATGAGGGCTGTATGTCGTTAAAAATAACTTACATATTCTTTTCTCTACATATACATATGTCTTTATTTGATTTAACTAGTGAGGAAACAGAAGTAAGATCAGAAAGGACTGAATGCTTTTTTTAGTATATTTTTAATGCAAATCAGAATATTATCATGAATATTGTGTTGATATGTTCAGCTGATTGTTAAGTAAATTATTGAACGAAGAATTTAAAGGAATAGAGATGCCCGTTCATAGGTTTTCATTTTTCTTTTTTCCACTGGTGCAATGTACTATTTGTACTTTGTTGCTTCATTTTGATCTGTGAATTAGTTTTTTTCGATCTCTGCTGCATCTCCTTTTTATTTTTCATTTTAAGAAGCAATTCTGAAAGCTTGATTTGAGTCTGTTCTAGAAGCATTTGGGAAGTTTACGGGAATATGTTTAGATTAAATATCCTAAAATACTAAAACATGTGAATGTTCAGTTCTTACTGCCTGAGATGATGTTTGATATGAAACATAATTGATAGGATATTTGTAATATATTAGGATACTTACAATTAATCTTTATTAATCTGAGATGGAAAAATCTCAAGTTGAACTTATTATAGTTGTGTAAGAACTATTCATGTGACCTGAATCTCTATTTTTGAAATTTCTCCTATTAATTTCCTTATATTTTTAATACGAAAAACGAATATTGCATTCATTATTAATCAGTACAGCAAAAGATGGAAATTCTTTCTGTAGCACGAAACTTAGTTAATTATCTCATTTCCCTAATTTTCATATACTTCTTTGGTCTATTTCATGAGAAGGATATCGCGGGAGTTTTATCTGCGCTACCTCCGGTGGTACGAGCACATCTTGAACACAGCCATTCGAATCCAGTGTTTTTCAACTTTTCATACTGATTGAGTTATTTCATTTCAAAATATGTTTTGAATTTCATACTTCTTATGCCAAACAATTCGTATTTCATTATATGGTAGTATTTTATATTAACTATTTTATGTTACATTTTACAGTCCATTTCCAGTTTGTTTTTTGCAAATCAGTATTTTATATTAATTTTTCATGGTTTACAAATAATTTTCAATTTGTTTTTTGCAAATTGTCTCCTTAACTGTTTAAATAACATCTGCCACGACTAAAATTTTTTGGAACAGTGATATACAAAGAAAGGTTCTCGAGTTCGATGGATTCCGACGGGAAGCTGAAATTTGACCTACAAGGAAGAGGAAGGAAAGAAAAGTTGCAATGAAAGAAGATCCTTACTTGCAATATTTAAAGCCATATTTAGATTACTGATATCTGCATTTATTTTGCTTGTTTCATGAATAGCTGAATTTTGTGGCAAATCAGTTTTTTCAGATTTTAAAAGTTTCTTGCAGTCTGTTCCAAATTTAATTTTTTTAAAACTTGTTTGGTCATTTATAAATATTTCGGATTCCTTCATAATTTGAATTAATTTTTGCAAAATTTACTTTGTCACTTCTTATGCCAAACAATTCGTTTTCTAGTCTCAAATGCCTTTTCCGTGAAGATATGTTAGTAAAGGCGTTGCACCGATATTTGCTCCTCTTTTCATGTACATTTATTCGCAGGTTTCAGTTTTCTATGGATTACAATGGTCAACGTTGATCTGTGGACAAATATTTTCAATATTTCTTCTGTTTGTGCACGTCATTTAAACTCTCAGAAATTTCACGGTTTAAACTGAGGAAGAGATAATCCTGCTTTCGACTGACCGTAATTATCGTAAATTGTTGTAGCGATACTTTCTTGATCATGGGGTGTTAGAGGTGATAATTTTTATCTTACAGGCTTTATCACATTAAATAGTTTATTTGCATGGTAAAATAAAACCGATCTATATGTATATATATTGCATATGTTTTGTCGTAAAATTTGTATTACATTAACAATTTTTGGCAGGAAATTTGAAACATCACTCATTGATTAATAGGAAAAAAAGTAGTGATAATCTGCAATAATTTGTTGTAATTGCTTTTTGTCAACTTCTCTTTGCGTCAACTTCTCACGCGGTTGATATAGTTTTGATCTTCCTAGCGTGAGTGGAAACTATCTATAGGTTACTTCCGTGCTACTATTAATTCATGCTGAATGACGCGGAATTCAATTATTTTTAGGTGAAATATTTGGTAAGTGAAATATGACGAGAAATTTTGACTTCTGGCGTGCACAATAAATAGTACATTGTGATAATAACGTGCACAATAAACAGTACATTATGATAATACGTTTTTAGCACTAATTGGAACGATTTTTCCACGCAGGCTTGAATATATGGATGTCATATTAGGCAAATATATGATGTCATACTAGGCATTGTACTGGCATGGTTTTGATATGTAGCATAAGTGATTGCGCAAATACAACTAAAAATTTCGAATTTTTGAATGGAATAAAAGCATATGCTGATGCAAATGCGGATCAAACGTAGCTTTAAGAACGTTAGAATACAACGCATCATGATCTATTGCCCATTTTCTTCAATGAATTTTAGGCTTATACTAGAAACGGGCTACAACGTTTGTGGAAAATAGGTTGCTAAATTATTTTTATGAAAACGTCGCTTCATCGTTTTTCTGTAAATCGTTTTACTCATTACCTAACCAGTAATTATCATTCCTTGTCACATTCATAGATACTGTGAGGTACCTTGAATTAGTTGCAACTGTTATCCTATCTTATTATTTGCATAAAGCTGTAAACATCCGCGGCCGATATTATATTATTCACATAATTCCTTTACACTTAAGTGATAGAGTCACCAAAAAAAAAATTTCAGAATTTAATTCAGTAATATATTAATGGTGAGTAAACCAACAATTTATGACAAAGCTCAAGAAGATTTGCATGCAGTGGACGTCTACCGCGACACCGCAGTACGATTTTTTGGTAAGTGCTACAACATCTGTATATCTTCACCATGCTGGGTGTTTTATTTCAAATGTTCTACAGATAGTTAGAACGATTGGTATGACATACGCCACCGAAAATAGCATTTTTTTTTTATTCTGAAATTTTCAGATTGTTTCAAGTTTGACCTAGTTTTATATATTTCACCAGAGACCAGGATTTCAAGGAATTTTAATTAGTTTAAAATCCGTTTTTAGGATTTCATGTTTTTGTTTTTCATTTCGCAAGGTCTTTGTAATATATCGGAAATTTTTAGTGGATTTGTTTATCATGAAATATGGACTTACTTACACTTTCAACTTGTTTTGCCTTTGTTTAGAATGACCTCATCCTTTATATTATTCAGATATTCAGACTTTTGTAGCCTTGTTCAGGCTATGCAAATGAAGTTGGCGAAGCGTTTCGTGCTTGGGTACCGATAAATATAGTGCGCCTATCATATGTCGTTGCAATGGGTTACGTTTTTTCCGATACAGCTGATAAAAGTCGAAAAACTTATCAGGTTGAATTGTTTTCATAAATTTCTGCATAATCCATTTATTTGTAAATCTATTTTCTAAGCAAAACACTGAACAAAAAGTTTAACAATTCGAGCTGTAGGAACTTGCGGCAGAATAACGTTAGGTTTATTGGAAATGTGTGCACTAATTAATTAACAATTTTAATTATTTATTTCTCATTTTATATGTTATCGTTTGATGAGCAATATCTTTTAAAATTTTTGCTTTCAGTTAAATTATCTAAACAGTAAGGAACGATCTCAAGCCGTTGCTTTTCGAGCTATCGATACCTTAATCTGGCAAAGTTTGGCATCTGTTGTCATCCCAGGAATTATGATCAACCGTGTTTGTTATTTATCCACTAAATTGCTTAGCTGGTTAGTTATCTGTACAAATAATTTATAATTGATTATTTTCAATTTCTAAAAAAAAATGTGTGGTACATAAAAATATGGAAATGTTAAAATATGTGTTAACAGCCAACGTAACAGATAGCTGATGATTGAGCAGTAGAAAATGCAATACTTTGTATTTGACAAATCTGATATTCAATGAAGATAACATTTATTTGCATGTACTGAAGATCTAAAGGTTTTTGACAAAATTCACTAAATATAAGGATTCGTCTTTTTGAATAAAGATTTATCATTATAACACGTAAACTCTAGATCTAAAATTGTTGGAACTGCTTCCATAATTTAAAGGTCAACAAGGTGGCCATTGAAAGTACAAAAACTGACGTCAACAATACTGGGCCTATGTGCTATCCCATTCATTGTGAAACCTATTGATACAGCCGTTGAAATTGGAATGCAGTCTTCATTAAGGAAATTCTATTCGGCGGAAATTTTCGAAAAGTAATAGCTTCGATGATAGAAGTTCTGGTAAAGTATTTAATTTTTTGAATTATCATTTTCGAAGTTCTCTCGTTATAGTTTTTTTTTCGAATTATGGTAAAGAAGGTAATGACTTCAAATTTTAAATTCATTGTTAGGAATCCATAGTAACTTTCAAAGCAATTCTTATACCATTTAAATCGCGCTAATAATTAAAAAGCATTGCCAACAAATTAGAAACATCAGGATATTAAATATCAGGTACCAATTATTTTTGCGTTCATTGCTCGACAAAACTCCATTAACATTTTGTCCCTTGGCACTAAGCACTTCAGTTGCAATTCAGACTTTTTTCTTCAGTTGCAGAGATTACCGAGATTTTATGGGATTTAGTGTGGTCATACCGGATTTGTTTATCCTATGTTTCAACAGCTTGTGTTTTTCTCGTATATATTTGCTTATGGCATTCAAATATTCGTAGGGAATAGAAAATCCAAATTTTTTTAAGTTCAAAATATTAATTTTCTGATAATTGGATCAGGTTTTGTATTTTTTTTTTTAAATATTTGTTAGAATATTTCTGTATTATTTGTAATTTTGCCGAAATAAATGTTTTTTAAAGTTTATTGTTGCTCTTTGTTTCATGTAGAATTCCTCACTTCCAGTATTTTTTATTACTTGTTTTTATAACTGTGCTTGTATATCTCAGTTTGTAGATATACATATGCATGTTATGGTCATGGATATTTGCATACCGTGGTTTGATGTAGTTTGCACGGCCTTCATTCAGACTTACTGTATGTTTTAAGGCTTAGATTCCCCTATTTCACAGTTTTGCTGGTTGATTTTGTTTGAATCGAATGCTTTGCTTTAATTTCGTCGGTGTGAATTTAGTCTGGTTTTACTAAGCTGTTGTTATTTGTTTTGAATTTTTATCATTTTCTAAAGCATTCCTTCTTCCCCTCATCCGTATGAAAGGTTACTATTTTATCGTTTACTCTTAATTTGCATAAACGTAGTAGTCATAGATGGCAACAAATTACTGCTCGCAATGTCGCTCGTCCTTTATGTAAATTTCTTTGCGCTTACTAAAGATTTATAAGTGCAGTAGTCGTATTGTCGGTTGTTGATGTGATGCGTCTAGCAGGTATTGTGGGTTTTTATTTTTAATTGAGCTAGATTTAGGTAAAAGGCAATATAGGAGGTATCGTGGTCGTTATCTTTCTTTAGTTAAGAGTTGAACAGCATCCTGTATAATGAAAAGACAAGGATTTTCCAATCACTTTATGGGAGGCAGGGGGTATTTGCTTATATATTTATTTTCTTATTTTTTGATTTAAAGGTTTTCCAAAATTTAAACGATAAATTTTGATAACTTATAGTTTACCAAATCGTTTTGTATTCGGTAAATACCAAAACGGAATTGATTATTTTGATACTGTAGAGTATATAGGTTTTTGCGTCTTTCAACATTTTCAAGTGATCTTGTTATATCTATCACATGGAATGATGCATATCGCCTAACATTTCATAACTGCGTGCATTGAGAATGAAATGAAAATTACAACTTATAATTTTATGATTTTTCACTTAATTGTTAGAATAGGCATCAATTTATTCATAGACACCAGATTTGACAGATATAAAAAACTATCTGAATCTTATTAATTTATTCAAGTTTTTTTTTACATTAGTTTCCTTTTGGTGTTTTTATTAAACTATTTTAATGCTGTGAATACAGTATATTCAGTTCTATTTTCCAGTTTATGCGTAATTATTGAATTCAATTTTTCAGCTTAAAGTTGCACTGCTGTACTGTTTCAGCTACTATGAAGCTGCTGTACAATGTCGAAATGCATTTTCATACATGCATTGTTGACTAGCTGTGAACCTAATGACAGCTTTTGTATTAATTTGTCTCATAAATCTCAGAACAATAAATGTCAAATAAATTATTTATTCCGATCGTTCTGCTATTTGAAGATCGCTCGGAATGATACTGTACTGAAAGTAAAATTCTACTAACTATATTCATTCATTTGTCGTTCCTAGATTTCCGAGTTTCGGTAACATTATGAATGCAGCATCGACTAATATCTGGACACAACAAGGACCTCGAAATGAGCTTATCGAACGGTAACTTACTATTTTTGCATGTTATGAAAACTGGATGTCACAATTAGATTAGTAGTACACAATATATTGATGAATGCTTCTAGATCAAGCTACGTGGTGATTATTATATCTATTTTTAGAATATTTCAATCCATTATATCGACCTTTGGAGATGAAAATTATCTCTATTTGAGTGGTTGCAAAATAAGTAGTAGTTGTAGCGTTACTGTCTGACCTTGTCATCCATCTTTAGTTTTTGAACTCTGTTATCTATCTTATTCTAGCTTATTCATATTATTAGCTGATTTCTCATTTTTTTTCCCTATTTCATTGCTCACAATGAATTTACGAAGCAAAATCTTTCGTGAATATCTTATTTGCATTATCTTACTTTTAATTTCCTCTCTTCTGCTCATCATTATGTTATACACGTCTAGTTGGTTCAAAGTATAGGAATGATCTAAGAGTAAAACTGAATTGTTTTGAGTTTTTCTTTTATTGATTTCGTTTTTACCAATTTCATCTCTAGCGACTTGTTCTCTGGCACTAACTGTGGGATCAATTTCGATAAGTATGAAGAAATACCGGTTGAGGCAACAGGGAATGATGTGCCGCGTCCATGCGCAGCGGTAACGTTTCATTTTTTGGGAAGCCAACAATTATATTTAAATGTTCTAATTTAAAAAAAAAAACGAAGAAAAATTTATTAATAAGATTTTAAGACTAAAATCAAAATTGTGATATTGTCAACTTTCGTACTTTCTATACACTTTCTATATCGTAATGCTTATATACTTTTCATAGAAGAATATTTCCTTCTTCATAAATATTTTTAGTTTGATGAATTGCAATTACATCCATGGATTCAGGAAAATATCAAGAAATTAGGATATATGAAGCCAACGCCAGTGCAAGTATACTAAGTTTCCACTTAATGCTTGGAAGACTTTCCGTATAGCTTTTAAAAAGTTATTATTACTGTAAGCATCTCCACTTTTTTCTCTTCTTTTAGAAATATTCTATTCCGACTTTACTGAACTGCCGTGATCTGATGTCTTGCGCGCAAACTGGTTCAGGAAAAACCGCAGCTTTTCTAGTGCCGCTTATTAATCACATCATTTTAAATGAGTCAACTGCAATGAGAATGGTAGGTAAATTCAAAACCATCCTTATCAACTCATTCTTTATTGTTCAAGATTAAATTGTTCTTGCACCATATTTTTGACCCGCCTTATGGGGGCTTAGTTTTTGTACCCGACCTACTTCAATTAAGATTAAATCCGATCAATATAATCTGTCAAGATACAGTGATGATAGAAGTGGTTAATACCGAAGATGATGTAAAATATTTTTCTGAAGTTTGAGATAAGTTAAAAAAATATAGAAATGAATTAAAGACATAACAATGTCTTCGTAAATAAATTAAAGATCAGGCCTTTCGAACCTCATATGCGGATATTTTTCGGATATTCATGTTTGTCCTGTCACCGTGCGGTTTCATTATTTATCTATTATAAATGTAATGGATCTGTCATATTGCTTTTCTTTAACTTATTTTCAGTAAGAGAAAACACCCGTCCTCTGCTTCAATCCAGTTAATTTTAACTTATTCCGTGCTTCTAGTTTCTATCTGCTTCTTGAATTATTTGCAGCCACAAGTCATGAATACCAGTCGTCATACGGTGTTTCCAGTTGCGCTGATATTATCGCCAACCCGTGAGTTGGCTATGCAAACTTATAAGGAAGCTTTGAAGTTTGCTTATCGAACTAACGTTACGTCTGCCGTACTTTATGGTGGTCGTGAAAACTATCGCGATCAAGTGCAAAAATTAACAGTATGTTGCTGGTGAATTATTATAGCAAAATGTTTCGTAATCATTTTTTGTATAATCTTACAATTTTTGTCTAATGAGACTTAGATTGAAGCGGGTAAGTATAAAATTACATTAATTTCTTAGCTCGGATGCCATGTACTTATTGCCACACCGGGACGTCTGCTAGATGTGATGAGTCAGAATGTTGTCTCTCTTCATGACTGTAAGTTTTTGGTACTCGACGAAGCAGATCGAATGCTTGATATGGGTTTTGAACCTCAAATTCGGCAAATTGTGGAGCGTTATTCGATGCCGGAAAAGGTTTAATTTTATAATATTATAAATGATGGCAATGCCATCATTTTTGTTCTCACCTATTCGTTGCATTTCTTTTGGCAGATGTATGCTTTATAGTCAAATGATAGAGTCTCCAAAAAGTGGTCCAAATGCGAGTATTCTGCTCTATCTAATAATAATTACAAATAATTTAGGTAATTTCATACTTCTGATCGGTACACATGTTATATTCAAGACTATTTTTAATCTTCGGAAACATATATCAATAGCTTAGTAACATCCCACAGCGCAGTGTTTTTAAGGGTAAACGCGTTACTGCAATGTTTTCTGCGACATTTCCAAAAGAAATCCAGGTATTGGCACAAGATTTTCTTATGCCAAATTATGTATTTCTTGCCGTTGGACGCGTCGGTTCAACATCTGAAAATATTGTACAAAAAATTATTTGGGTGGAAGACCATGACAAGAAGCGTTTGCTCATGGAGATCCTCGATGTTGACGGTACTTCTTTCTATTTATTCATTTAGCAGCTTAAGAAGTGTTTGCCTGTTCTGGGATTTTTACTTCTCCACAAGTTCAAGATTTGAGGAAAAGCTCGGTGAATTTTGGTGGGCTTCACTAAATTTATTAGTCTCTTAGGGCAGTCCGCAATACTGTTCGTCTAATACGACTTCGTGCTTTTTTAAGAGCAATTAAAATTATTAAAGGTGTTTCTCTAAACCTTATTTAATTTTTAATTTACTTATCAATTTATTTTTTTTTTTGATGTCTTAAAACTTCTGGCACTGTTTTTGCTCTCAGCATTATTTTTGAAATGCGAAGATCTGGTAATTTGAGGATAGATCAAGTTACTTTAAAACGATAGTACACTGGAAGTCTTTTTTGAATTGAATATCCCAAGCCGAGCTCAGTTTACTAAATTATACAAATTTCAGCGAATAGAGGACTTACTTTAGTATTCGTTGAGACGAGACGAGGTGCAAATGAGTTAGCGTGGTATCTTCAGCGTAATAACTACAGCGTCATGCCAATTCATGGTGATCTTAAGCAATACGAAAGAGAGCGCCATCTGGAAATGTTCAGATCCGGACAAACAAACATATTAGTTGCAACAGCTGTATAATTTCTCTTCACAATTACATAAAATTAAATTCAGCTGAAAAAAATGCATTCATTGTTATTTCAGTGTTTAGGGAAGAACGAAACCGTTATGTATTGTGCATAAAATTTAGGTAGCAGCCAGAGGTCTTGATATTCCAAATGTGAAGCATGTAATTAACTTCGATCTTCCCACTGATATTGACGAGTATGTTCATCGCATTGGCCGTACAGGGCGTGCTGGGAATATTGGATTGGCAACTTCATTCTTCACAGATCGAAATCGGAATATCAGTCACGATTTGGTGGATCTTTTGGTTGAATCTAATCAAGAAGTGCCGGATTGGCTGGAGAAAATGACTAAAGAAAGCAGCAGAAGCGCTTCCAAACATCACGATAGGACACACAGAGGGTTTCTTTTCAGTGTTATGTTTTTGTAATGTGCATATCGAGAGCTTGGAAGTATTATAACCAATAATTCTAGTTAACTACTCTTTTTTTGGTCTATGCTGTTGAACTACAGGAGTATCATATGATAGATTTCAGACGTTTTGGTGGACGAGACCATCGTTTAAATGCTGGAAATAACTCATTTTATTTCAATCGTCCCACGGCTGTTGTGCAAAATTTTGGGACAGAATCGAATTCTGCTCTTTGGTACAGTCAAAGCAACTTCCATCCATCGTAAGTTCTTTCTATAAATTTATTTCAATCGGCAGTTTTGCACAGCTTACCTACCTTCGTATTAATTTGGAACAGTTAGTGAACAAAATTACACATGGAGAAGTGCAATACTGACTGTCTATATCGCATAGCATAGGCACTTATTAATATTTGTCTCTCCGATCTGATAACATAGCGCTGAATTAACGAGTTGGTTGTGTTTCCATTAACTTTATTAATATAATCACTCATTATCAGCTATGATTTTCAATTTCAGTTATGGTGATACTGGAAATGTTTTTATGAATACATCATCTGTTGCTATTCAAAGCAATATATATCGGGCTCCTCAGATAGGTCACATTTATCAACATCATGGAGATTCCTTTCCATTCGTACCATCTGTTCCAACCACTGGTATTGACTATTGGGGTACTATTGCTGGCACTTCGTCGAATGGAGAGTAAGTTCAAAAATTAGTTCCTTTTTATTGCTTTGTTAAATTGACATAAACTTGGATCTTTTTTTAAACGGTCAAGATTCAGTGATTAAATTTTATTCTTTTGATCTTCATACTACTTTTTTATTGGATTTTAGTAATGATAAGAAGAAATTTCAGATTCTTACGACCTAATAACTTGGCTTATGGCGGGCATTTTGGAACTCAGGCATCACAAGCAGTTTTTGGCAATTGGGAGCGTTAATTTTATCAGATCTCTTTGTTCTATTTTTTGGCCTTGATCATTTATTGTTGCTTTTTTAATTTCTTTTTTTAGGCTCTAATTTTGACTTGATAATTGCCAATTTTTTATGCAAAAATTTTTACATAAGAATTAAGTTTAAGTATTAGGTTCGAGTTACTTTTATTTCTGAGTAACTTAAAAGCCGGTACCAACTGCACCACTGTTTAGAATGGTTTATTGAAATCCAAGTTTGTTTCAAACTGGTAAATATAACGTTTCCTGATCAAAGCAGTTAATACCTCCAAATATTTGTTCGAATTTTCGTAGGTATCTAAATGCTCGAAGAAGGGGGAAAAATTTATATGATAATGAAAGTTGTATTTCTCTACGCCTAGCATCTTTGTAATTGAATTGAAGGGGTTTACGGAGGTAATTCCTCTTGAAACTAAACATGGTGCATGAAGAAATATGATACTCATTAACGCATGGATTACCGGTTTTCGATCATTTGAAAATTTGTTCTATAAAAATTGAGGGAAACATGTTTACTGAATGAAATTAATTGCTTTGATCAAAAATACGAGTATTAATCCGAAAAATGGAATAGGATGGTTTTATTTTAATACTGCAAAGTTTCACTTAAGCATTGAAAATTTCATTTATTAGTAAAACATTAGTAATTTTAGAGAAACGAAAGATAAGCTTTTCGAATATCAGTGAGTCTTTTAAGAAAAAATTTTTTAATACTTTAAAGTGGTTGAATTATATTTGGTTTTAGCTAGCTGAAAATTCCGTCATAAGTACGTTCATTCTGAAACCTTCGCGAATTTTTCTTAGTATATTAATGGTGGATTTTATTTAATTTTAATTAATATGTAGAACCTACTTCATTTATTTTCCGTTAAAATTTTTTCATTCCTCTAGCATTTTCTTTTTGCGTTGTTGTAGTGTACGCGCGGAATTATCATTTTTTGTTGTTTCCAGATACCTCTTCAGATACAATTCATCCGCTTTATTTACTAACGATTTGTAATCCTTGTCGGTTGATATTGTGGACACATGTCTTTTATCTGCTGTATTGCCACATTTTCGAGATTTTAAGGAAAAGCTAATAGATGAAGATTCCGTTAAAAATTGCTTATTATTTCTAGATACTGTAGGAGAGGTTTTCAGGGGCTCATCAAAAACTAATATTTTGAAATTCTATGAATTGATTCTTTCAATCTTAATATCCATAGAATGCATATTAAGATACATAACGCAGAATAAATAAAAAGCCTCTGCATTAGAAATTTAATTGATAGTATTTCTAGAGTATGTTTATTGTGAAAGATGTAGTTATTTCTGAAAGGGCAGAGAGACAGTATGTGTTGTAGTGGGAATTGAATAACTGCTCATACTTAGTATAGTTGAAACAGTCCACAAAATAACATCGAAAATAATAGATCAAGATAGGTACATCTTACATCTTATTATTATCCTCAAATCTCTTCTGAATGTTCATATTAGCTTCAATGATGTTCAGGTGCAACGATAGCACTGTCGGATTTTTGCAAATTTATCATCTTCAATTTTATTCCTTCATGCTTCTGGCGTATTGATATCTCTATATCTCACTTATACTTGTGCCTTAAGCAATGCCTAATTCTGATGCTTTCTGGATGTATTGTCCTACTTTATGTCGTGCAATTACTTAATTTTGCATTATAATGATGATATTTCAAGAGAAACTTTATTGGTTATACTTTGTTATATGCTAAAGTTTCTTTGGTTTAGTGGAAGAATAAAATAGAAGCTGTTGACTCCACTTTTCTTCTTTTTCACGTTATTTTTTTCATAATGAAAATGTTATTCAAAGATTTGAAAGGAATTATGAAAATTATTAATACCCTATTACGTTTTATTTCCACGAAAGTTTAGAGCAATGTTGGGTCCGTTTCAAAATATTCGGCCAATGGTTTCTCAGGTGAACTGATGCGGCCACTTGTTTCAGTTTCGGTCTTACCGTTATTTAAGTCGTTGTCATCGTTAGAACTGCCGGATCGTTCATCTCGTTGACTGCCTTCTTCCGGACTTATTGATGTTCTCAAAGATTCTTCCATAGAATCACCTGCTGAGCCGCATGTTATCTGGAATTCAATAATTCCATATGCAGCTTCAAAACCTGTTAGCGATGGGAAAAGACTGTAAGATTTTGCCATTATTATGAATTATTGAAATGAAAAAAGTCCATTGAATCTAACTGTCCGCAAATCTATTTTATATCAGAAAATTAGGGAAGTCTTTCAAAATTTTTGAGTGTTTTATGCAATTTCTCAACTTACATTGAGAGACTAAATCAAAAATGCTTTCCAATTCTTGCGCTTCAGAAGTTTTCAATAATTAAAAAAATATACCGGTTCGTGAAACGAAGTACTCGGAATGAGTGATACATGAGGTGAGTTACTAGAAGCTTCACAACATTGTATACTATTACGACGAAATTTTGCTCGAGCATTTTGAAACCAGACCTGAAATGATGTAGTATTTTGAATAATATTCAATAATTCTTGTAATGATGTCACATATTGTAATGCATATTATTCTTATGCGAAATGTCGCATGATCTGCTGGAAGAGATTCTTTATCAAATAACTATAGACCACATAACATGTAATATTCATAAATATGAAATAACGATAGTCTATCTTCATCGAGAAATTTTTTTTAATTAAAAAAATCTCCACCTGTAAAACTCTCTTAGTAAGACCAGTTCTTTGTGCCAATTGTTTCAAGTCTTTAGCATCTGGATTATGATTCAAATTGAAATAACTTTTCATTGTCCTAAGCTGGTGATGCTTGAAACTGGTACGCATCCGTTTTGATTTATGCGTTATACCTAGCGCTTCTTCTTCAACACAATCTATAGATTGATTTGCTATTTATTGATTATTCCAAAAAGAAGGGGAAACCATCAAGAAATCACATTTTTTAGTCCATTATTGAAAGATGTCTGACTTCAAAGAACAACAAGCAATGAAGTTGCGTTGGAGCAATTAAAGAGGCCTGAATTTCATCCCACTCTGATAAATCAAGTCAAGATCAAAATATTAAATGACTTCAAAGCCCGACAACATGTTGCTTAATATGTTGTCTCATCTTAATGATAACGGCGAGGCTTCATACATACATATATCTGATCAAGCGTGAGTCTTCCGAAGAAGGAACCTCCGATTGTTATTTGACCTATTCGTCACAAATACTTGACGTTTTTATTTGGCTAAAAGATAGGAAAGTCGAATTCTTCACTTACCCTAATAAAAGATGCTCTTAGATGTGTACTGTAATTGTAGTATTAGAAAGAAATGTTGCCATAAAATAAATAATATTCTATTCCTTAGCCAAAGACTATGCTAACCATTTTGCCATCCGAAGGAACAAAGCGGTTCTTTGAGTGTATTTAACAAAGCCTATGTTTTCCGCATATCCTCCAATTAGCGTTTAGATACGGTAGTTATATGTGAATTTGTTCACATTTCTAAAATCTTATACTTTCGAATTCTGATAGAAAATTATAGCAGCTTGAAACATTTGTCCCTTAATTTTATTTCCCTCTTCCTCTTCCTCTTCCTTTCCACATTTTTCATTCTTTTTCCAAAATTGAACCAGTTCCGTTTTCCTTCGAAGATAAGCGAAAAGAAAACTGTTAATCTTATCAGTGCAGTTGTATTTGTCAAAAAAAGCATTTGAAATTAAAAATAGTTGAAGATTTCACCTTGGAAATATGTGAGAAAAATATCTGATAACAAATAGAGGAAATATTAAATTAGCAAAAATATGTATGAACGAAAATGACTGATAACACAATCATTTTTAAGTGATTATATATAATTATAAATGACATTATTTAAACTTCACTTTTCCTATAAATCGAATTTGAATTGAAAATTTTAAGTGTAAGTCTCCTGAATTAAGCATATTGTTTATGAATTAAATATACCATTTGTCGTTTTACATTCTACATTTTACGCGTTACATCAACTATTGCCAATTTATACCAGTAAATGGCTACTATATCTTAAGTAGCTGGGGGAAGGTTGATGGATTTACCGGAAAATGAAAAAATCAAAATTAAAAAACACCAGTGCCAACCAATACTATTTGCAGTACTCTCGATTTCATCATTTGATTTTTTCCACTTCCTACAGCGCTCTTTTCCTCGTACCAATGAAATCTCTGGTGAATCGGTAATTCGCAAAGAACTGTCATCAGTAGAATTGATTGCACCAAAATGCACTAAAACTTGAAAATATCATTTCTTACTGAATTAAAGTATATGCCATCATAACTTGTCAATGTTGATACTTTCTAAATATTTGAAAATATTTAATTCCATTTCAGTGATATCAGTAATATGCATCACATTGGAAATGTCGCTTCTTTAATCCTTTCAAACTATTAATGATAACAGGAACTAAAAAATTGTGAAACTGATATATCTATTTGTACTACACATTTGGTTCATTTCAAAATTCATTTCTTAAATTTTAATCGAAAAACTGTTATCAATAATCCAACAATAAAAATTTAATGATTGATAAAAAAGATCAAATTTCTCTCCTTCATTCATCTTTATCAGATCAACATAAAGGAACTTATCCATGATAGATGCAAGAATAGAAATATCTATCCCACTCTCATTTACTTCCATCTTATATTGCTTTGTTAAAATTATCAACCACAGAATAAACTACTAATAATTTCTACAATAGTTGTTAATTAGTGATTCCAGTTTTTTTAAGTTTATTTCAAGTTTTGTCTTTAGTGATCATCAACATGCTTACATTATGGCAAATGTAATTTGCCAAGTATCAAAGATCGGTAAGAATAATATAAATTTGAAAAAAACTTTAAAGGAAAATAATGGAAGAGAAATAAGCACCGTGACAATACAATGTCCCCTTACATCCCATCATAAATAATTCACCGGGTCGAAGTGGTCCAGAACAGACGCAACATGTGAAACATTCCAAATGAAAAATTGCTTCATTAGCTCGCATAATAATATCATCGTCACATAACATGACAGCACATCGTTCACAACTTTTACCATATTTACTATAAATAATTTGACAAATCTTAAAGTATCATCACTTAATTAATTTAATTCAATGTTATCTTTTATTTATGCATAAATAGAAATTTCGACGTCTATATCTAAATATAAATGTTTGCATTAATTTTTATAAATGGAAATAACTAAAATGCTAAATAGTTGTTGATGTTAAACTTTCTATTATGGATTAAAATATTTTTTTTCTCATATGATGATAACTTTTATAAATTGATAGTGAATTGAATAATTTCTTCTTACGTGAGATAATCATCACGACAGAATACCATTCCATCTTTGTAGTAACAAGTAGATGAGCTATGTAATAAGCAATGACATAAGCAACAACGTAGGCATTCATAGTGCCAACTTTGTTCGTTCATTAAAAGGAAATGTTGATCCGTAATGGGAATCATGCAGGATACACAACAACCTGTTATATTCATTATCAACTAATTTCTAAAACAAAAACAAAAAGGAAAGAATATGATTTAAAAAAAGGATGTGAAATATTCGATGGATTGGATAGCATTGAATTGATTTGAAAAGGATGAAATGGATGAATCTATCATTTCATCGAAATTTTACATTATATTCCATGCTATCTATTAATTTAGCTAACGAATTAAAAGTTCTCGTAGTGATTCATTTCTTCTTGAAATGAGTTGACATTATAAGATTTGCATTGAAATTGAAATGGCTACCATTTTATTATCTTTTTCTTTTAAAAGATTACCTGCTGTTGCAATTTGACATGAAGCGGTTGAAGTTGATGGAACAATGGTTGGTATTGGTGATGATGATGATCCGATTTGAGTGTTATCATTTAATGATGATAAATATATCATTCGGAAATCAGCAATAAATATTACAATGAGTTATCAATAATGAATATTATAGAAAGCAAGAAAAATTTTACGAGCAAAAAATATGCGCTATCAAATTAATAGTTAATTTAAAGTTAATTGCATATAATATTGCATATAATTTATAATTTATAATATTGTTTAATTTATAATATAATATTTACAATATTTAATTTACATATAATTTATAATATTGCAAAAAAGTTAATTGCATATAATATTAAAAAGAAATTTCCAAAAATATACCACAAAAATATTTCATATTTCAGAAATTCATTAATTAGCTTATAATTCAGTTAACTTCTAATATTATTATCATATCCGTAGAGCATATAGTTTTATTTCAGAAATTTATTAATTGTTATCATAATATATTATTATCATATCTCTAATATTATTATCATATCCGTAGAGCATATAGTTTTATTTCAGAAATTTATTAATTGTTATCATAATATATTATTATCATATCTCTAATATTATTATCATATCCGTAGAGTATAGTTTTATTTCAGAAATTTATTAATTGTTATCATAATATATTATTATCATATCTCTAATATTATTATCATATCCGTAGAGAATTTCGATGGAATTCTGTAAATTTTGCAGAAATAACTATATAAGGCATTTTTACTACAACAAAATAGAGAGAATAAATTGTATAAGAAATGAATTTCTGGTAAATTACTAAGGGATAGAAATTTTTTAAAACAGATCTGAGAGTAAAGTTCAATCAGATTTAAGAAAAAAAAAGATGTAATTAAATCGGGTATGTAAAGGGATATATGTATGATAGTGTACGGTTTTAGGAGGATCGAAAGAGGATTATGAAAATAAATGTAACAATAATTTTGTGCCAAACAGATAATAACTCAGCCTTTTCCATCTCTCACTTTTAACAAACGATATCATTTTTATTGTTATTACTAACAAATGTTTAGTTGTGTTTATTTTAGTATTGCGACAATTTTGTCCGTTCTAACTTTTCTTCATCTTTGCGAACCAAATAAAGAAAGCTTCAACATCTGTCATTTATTATTAACTACTACTAATACTGCTATTACTACTACTGCCACTACTACTGCTACTACTGCCACTACTACTATTCCACCACCGGTACTACTACAACTACTACAAAAACTTATTTGTTGCTAGAAAATCTTAATGTATAGTTTGAATCTAAAATGCTACAATTTTTGGTATGCTAAGCTGAAAGGAAAATTACTTTTTTTAGAAGACAAATTGGCAAATAATGCTAATTGAGGATAAATTTTGCTGAAGATAAATTTGAGATAGGTGGAAAGAGAGGATGGATGATGATCAGTTAAACTCTTTAAAGGACACTTGAAAAATGAGGATAATATGCTTTGCAGCTTGTTTTAATGATGATAATGACCGAAACGGATTATAATTTGACACCAACCATAGAGATAGCAGGTGAAAAGCTAACCATACAAAATTGAATCCATTCGAACTATTTTCATCTAACTATAAATGATATTATTATTATTACAAAGGAGCAGTCTGAATCCGGTCTATTAATAATAACTAATTTTATTTTGCAGGAATGTATGGGTTGCATTCATTGTGTGATTATATAAAATCAATGAAAGCTTTGAAGAATCATCTGAAAATCACTGATAAAATGTCATCAAAGAATGATGCCGAAAAATCCATACTGACATATAATTCATTGTCTGTAGGATAAACCGGATTGCTTAAATAGACAGATCTGATGATGACTGGTAATTAAATCCATCAGATACTATTGAATACTACTGCCAAGCTTAAATTCCTAAATGCAGATAGACTGTATATATATATCGACGGAAAAACAACAACTTATGCCTCACTTATCTAAAATCTCAATTTTTGATCTGATAAAACCTTTTGAATTTCACTACTGTAAACTGTCTACATGCTCTTCCTGATTCTTGATGAAATGATACATACATCTGGCAAGGAAACATAAAATAATCCCTAACATATTTCCTCGCTTTTCAATACATTGGCAAATTTAACAGCATCATCATAAAAAATCGTTTACACTCTTCAGTGGTATACCATATACTTTAGTTTATGGCACTGTAAATAACCAAAATAGAGATAGTTTTAGACTTTGTCCATACGTTGATTAAGTAAATCTTCTAAATGATGTGTTAGCAATTGTTTTGTCTTAGATTGGATTGTTGTTTTGCTATCAAAGAAATGGACAGTAGCGCATCCATCGTATTAATTATCGTAGTTAAAACATATTGAGGAAATTTGAAAAAATTTTTCGGTATTGTTCGAAGAGAAAAAAGAAGTTAAATCGATATATTTATTAACATTTATTAAACTTTCCTTGAATATTTTTACAATACTATATTAAAGATGCATTGTTGTAAAAAGGAATCCGATAATTGGAAGATAATAATTTTGAGGAAGAAATACAGTATCCCAAGGCGGTAAGAAAGAAAAATCAGACAAATATTGAAGAGGAATGGTAAATTTGCACTTGTAATTATGTTCAACAATAGCTTTCTACAAATGCATGACCGATGCAAAGATGTGGTAGAAAGAGGTTGTCGAGTACAGCAGGGGTCATGAAGGTGAGATGATGATGGGATGACCTCGTGGCAGGGGTCCATTATATAGCTTTTGCCTATATATTTTCATCACTTGGCTATTTTTAGCTGTAATTTTCATAAATTCTATTTTTACATTCTAGCCAATAAAACATTCAACTATGGTGGAAATTAGAAGAAGTATTTGTTAATAGATAAAAGTAAAATTAAAATTAAAACAAAATTAAAATAGAATAATAGAACCATCAAAGTTTACTGTCTTTAACTAGAAAGAGCCACATGATGAACAATTAGTGAGCATCGTATCCATCAGTAAGATTATCCCATCCTTCACAATATCGTCATCGTGTGATGAAATGAATAAAAATGGATTTTTATGCGGAAAATTCAATGAAACAATTGAGAAATAAAATGAAAGCATTTAAGGAAGAATATGGATTATCAATGATGGGAGTGAAAAAGAGATACCGTATGCTTAGAAGATGATAGCATAGAATTTAGTTACTCGATTGAGGATAAAATGTCTAATTAGGAGATCGGCCAAAAGTTGAGGAATAGACTATTATTTAATGAAAAGAAAGCATTATTCTGGCTCACATTATTCTGGCTTGCTAGCCTAGCTAAACCAAAGTAATATTCAAAGGGAGGGCTATATATGAAAAGCTTTCGCATGCCAAGTAGAAAAGTATAGGGATAAGCCGACCAACTATGAGGATACCTTTTTATTAATGAGGCTCCGCTCAAATGTTGTATCAACAGACAGGTTCATTCAATGATACTTGTTTACACCACACTGTACTATTCTATCATCGTTTAATTTTGATGATTCATATAATAGTGAATTTTTCATGAAATATTCTGTTTTATTTTTTTCAAGAATTATCCATTTATTGAGTTTGAAATGAAATCAAAATTTTGCTTCTCAAGTCTATTTTATTTCTTTGCCAACTAACACTGAGAGAGAAAGAGAGAGAGAAAAAAAGGTTACACCTGCTTATTTGTTTACTTAATAATTAATTGGAGAAGGTAAGAAGCAAAGAAGGGTCAGTGGCTGATTGTGATTGCATGCATTTGCTTTCTGTAATTGTTGCTACAGTAATTATTTATATGTGTGAATGATTTGTGAACTAATCTAATTCCCTTAATTTCGATATTTTCAGGAAGAATTTGGAAAATATGAAGTTTTTCATTAAGCTTTGATTGTTCAACATAAATTTTACAGATTGCAAGGAAGTTGTAATTTGAGGTTTGTGTTTTAAAAAGAATTTTATTTTTTATTTTTAAATTATTTTGTTAAAATATATTTTTATACTGACAAAAAATATTTATATAAACTCAACCTTCTCATAGCAATGATTCATTATTAATTAAGATTAATTCAGCCTCACTAAATTATCAAAATTGATAAATGTTAGTGCAACAATTTTCATTTATCAGTGAATGTGGTAACTTAGGTCATTAGGAGAAGGTCAGTTTCATGATCTAATGATATCACTTTTTGCTATAATGCAAAAAAAGGAATAGATAATCTATTATGATCGTTTGATTAAATGTCGATCAAGTTCACATAGACTAGAAATATTAATTTTTGTAGAATTATTTGTAAATTTCCCGATTATATACAATTGTGAATGCGACATTAATATAAGTATAGTTGGATTTTTTCTTCACCAATGAATTACAATTCATAATAATTGGCTCACATTTTTTTATCAGCGCCAAATATTTCACCACCGACACCGGCAAGAGTCTGTAAGAAGAATGAAATTAGAAAGAGAAAGGATAGATAATATTCCTTCTTGTCATATTTTCTTTATCATAAAATGAATTAGAATTAATACGAATGGATCGAAATTAACTTAAAATACTTTTTTAATAAAAAAAAGTAGTACCAAAGATAAAAATATATTTTTTTAAAGGAAATCTTGTACTTGATAGTTAGGATCATAGGTGCCGGCTTTAGCATCTTTATTTTCCGGAGCTTTTGGTCCTGCACCACCACCGCCTTTCTTATCTGCACCAAATACTTCACCACCAACACCAGCTAGTGTCTGATAATTGGGATCATAGGTTCCTGCTTTAACATCTTTATTATCAGGAGCTTTCGGTCCAGCACCACCACCACCGCCTTTCTTATCTGCACCGAATACTTCACCACCAATTCCAGCCAGGGTCTGAAATGTTTTATTTGGCATGAATGATATATGATTCAACAAAATTTTAAAAATCTGACGGTAGAATTTGAAAATCTGTTGAGTTAAAATTTTATTTTTTTCAAAATTTAACGAATTCAAAATTCTAAAATAAGATCATGTACCTGATAATTAGGATCATATGTGCCAGCTTTTTCTTCTTTGTTCATGGGGGTTTGAAGACCTCCACCACCACCACCACCACCGCCACCTCCAGCTGCCTTCTTATCTTCACCGAATACCTCGCCACCTACACCAGCTAACGTTTGATAGTTGGGGTCGTAAGTTCCTAAAAATTTCTTGAAAACTGATAATATTATTTTCTCTTGGTATTTAAAATCGCGACCATTTCAAACATAAAAACCCTTTTAAGATCCGTAGCCAATTAAACCTACCAGCCATTCCACCAGCTGCTGGTGCCTGTGGTCCTCCGCCGCCGCCGCCGGCATCGCCGCCGCCGCCATCACCATCTTTCTTTTTATTTTCACCAAATACTTCACCACCTACACCAGCTAATGTCTGGTAGTTCGGGTCAAATGTTCCTAAAATTAACTTTTACATATTAGCGTAAAAGCTAATTATTTAAAAAAGATGTAAGTGTTCAAATGTTTCAATATTTTTTATACAGAAGCTGTCAAAAAAATTAATTTGTTAACCTTTATCTTAATTAACTTGTAATAGAAATTTTATTTTTTCTCGATATTAAAATTAACATAAGCATATAGGCTAACTTACCGGCTATACCTCCTTGTGTAGGTGGTTTTGGTCCTTCCACTGGAGTAGCACCAGCACCCTTCAATTAATATCAAATCCTACTATTGATTTAACTTTTGCTTACCTTACTGATGAGAAGGTATCATTTAACCTCATATCATTTAACATCATATCACCATGGAAAGTGGCACATATTTGAAACGAACAAATTTAAACAATAATTTATTAATTGATTGACAATAGAAAAGAAAACAACTAATGGATAAAAAGATGGAGCTTTTGGGCTGACAAATCGCAATCAGTCACAAACTTACCTGATTAATTCCTGCCGCTTTCCCTTCTGCAATGTATCATTCAAAAACATCTGTTTTAATAATAGTTCAGTTTATTGTTATCTATTATCTGTCGTAGAATCATTTGCAAGATTGTTGGAATAAGCAAATTAGTGACCTTCGATACTTTAATTCATATGGTGCAACACTTTTGTTTTTAGCTATTTTTCAACCCCAGTTTTTTGACCATCACATTTTGATATCATTAATAACTTGGATGACTCTAATATTGTCTGTGATAATTTCTAGACCGTTAATTATCAAAGATTAGCCAATATCATAGCGCACTCATCATTTAATAAGTCATCAGTTTTTTAAGTGATAAAATCAGGTGAAGGAAAAAATTGTTCTTCAAATATTAAAAATTATTACAAAATTTCGTACCGGGTTGTCGTCCACCTAATTCTTTTTGATTATTTGAGGTTTTCTTATTCTAAAAAGAAATCTAACTAAATGAGGGAAATAATGTTGATGATAACGATTAATGATAAGAAATATTTGTTGTTGAATTGTGACTTCTATTTGAACATTAGCAACTTTCATAATTACGGTATTTATTTATTCTCATCAGAGTAGATATTAGCTCGAAATAGTACTATAAGTAATTAAAAATTTGAATAAGAATAATTAAGACTGAAGAATACGTTTAATTGTTAAATCGGTTAATTGATTTTAATTTTTAATGGAAAATTTTTAACGAACCCCACGAGAAGCTTTTTTTGAGCTTGAGCTACAGCAATTAGTAGAATAGATTACGGCAACATATAGCATTAACGCAAAATACAAAATCAAAGATATAGGCGATTCAATCAATTTTAATTTATCCATCGTTATTGACGCCTTTCGGCCTCTTTTTTTTTCTTTCTGCTTTTCTTTGTTACCTGTAATATTAAGATAAGAATGATAATTAATGTGATTGAAGGCAAGGTATGAAATAAACTAGGAAAGTTTAGGCTAAACAAATTTTGCATAAGCTTAATACGAATCTATAAAAATTAATAGCACTCTTTCAAAAATCTAATTCGTCAAATTAGAGATAATATTGCGCTCTAATCCGGAAATGTTATATTCTTCTTCTATTGGATTTCCTGATGTTAGCTACTCTATCATCATTATTCTACTAAATATAAAATGACAAGAACCCGATAATTTAATCAACCTGATGGTAGAAGAATACAAACCTCTGCTGCTTTTCACCGTATTTCTAATAAGAATAACAAATATACTATCGTATTACCGCCATTATATAGCTTTATGCAAAATTCAAAAATATCAATTTTGCATAATATTCGTACAATTAAAAAAAAGGCGAAATAACTCTATATGATTATAAAGCTTAATTAAGTTCAAATTTAATCTGATTAAGTTAAATTGAAATAAATTGAGTTAAGCTCAATTAAATACGATATGATAATATTTCACTGTTTTACAAATAACTTTTTTAATATAACTTTTTCATTAATTATTCTTTGATTATATATTATCTAAAAGACAATCCCTGCTCTATCCTCCTTTATCTTTCGTATAGAGATAGATAAGAAGGTGATAAAATAGGCGCTAAATACATTTTCAATTTTAGACACTTAAAAATCTCATTTCAATTTTAGGATAATATATGATGGATAAAATATCTTTTTTTTTGCATCCCATTTTGAAGCTCTATCCTTAGTCTACCTCTTCCAATAAATTATTTCCTTTCTTTAAGCAATACTTTAATTACAGTGTGAATATTTCAGGTGAGAATGTGAGAAAGGTTCAAATCCAAGATTGTAATAATTGATAACTGATAATTCAGAATATGATGAGAGAAATGAAATAAATCATTGCATCCAACTAAAAAAATCATTGTAAATCACTTTGTAATTTTTTGAATCGATTTTATTCTCTCATATATCATATGATAGGAGTTCTATGATATCTCGGATCTCGCGGTCGTTGATTTCGATTGAAATGTATTATCATTTTAATGTATCACCAATAATTTATTCATTTCCATATACAAAAGTAGTAATTGTGAGGGAAAAAAAAGTGATGTCAGTATATTGAAGATATGAAGTGATCGATCGACCCGTTCATTATCCTATTGGCTCTTTTGTATAAGCTTCTGTTCACACTTTAATGAGATGTTCATTTTGCGCCCCCTCCCTCATTAATCCAATCATTTACTCTCACTCTTCCTTCTTTTCCTCCTCTCCCTTCTTTTCGCCCTCACCTTCCTAAAAAGGAATTTCTTGTTAGAATTTTATTAAAATTAAAATGGTTAAGGAAAAGAATTTGAAATTGAAGCTCACATCTTTCTTAGATCCTTCCTTCTTAGAACCTTCTCTCTTCGAACCTTTCTTCTCTTCCTAAATATTACAAGTTCATAGGATCGATGATAGTAGGTAAGTTAAGGTAAAATTTTTTTAAAGAGATTTCTTACCTCTTTCTTTGATCCCTCTTTCTTTGATCCCTCTTTCTTTGAACCCTCTTTCTTTGAACCCTCCTTCTTTGATCCCTCCTTCTTGGAGCCTTCCTTCTTCGAACCTTCCTTTTTTTCCTCCTTCTCTTCCTATAAAATATTAAACCCATAATTGAAAATTGAGATTTTTATTCGATCAGATCGGATTCAGACTCGATCATTTGTATTATCCTCGATATGCTTTTATCCTACAGCATTAAGATTCTGCTGTATATTATCTCAAGCATTGCAGTAAATATTATTATTGAGATTCGAAATGTTCAACGGTGGCTTTTGAGGTTAAACTTTAAAATTCGTTATTTCAAGCACAGATCAGATAAGTGACCAGATATGATCCGACCGGAATTAACCGTATTCGAAAAATCTGTCCGATTTTATTATTTTAACATCTAGCTAAATCCAGAAAAAATGAAATTCACCTCTCCCTCTTTCTTTTCCTCCTTTTTGTCATCACTCTTCTTAGATTCATCTTTCTTTTCACCCTCTCCCTCCTTTTTCTCCTCTTCCTTCTTCTCAACGTCACTTTCCTTCTTTTCATCAGTCTTTTTCTCCCCCTCACCACCCTCACCCTCCTTCTTTTCTCGTTCCGATTTCTTGCTCTTCTTCTCAGCTTCCACTTTTTTCTCCTCTTTCTTTTCCTCACCGGCTTTTTCAGCTGCCGCAGGAGCTGCAGGTGCAGCTGCAGCTGCCGGAGCGGCAGCACCTCCGGGAGCAGCAGCACCTTCCGGTGGTTTATCACTAAAATGTTGGTTAGTGCGGGTTTTTGTGTACTTCTGAAGCGGATAAAAAAACTGAGATAATTTCTTAAGGTCAAGACCGGATAGAATGTCCTCCCTAGGTGATATACGAAACTTTTCAACTTAATTAAAATCAAAATTTAAAAACTGATGAAATCTTCCTGCGTTAGTTAAACATTATGGTAAAGTTGGTAATTCTATAACTTGGCAAATGTACCTTACCGCACATTGCAAGGATTGATTTTCTGCGTTTCTTATCGATTGTAAAGTATTATTAACCGGTAGGTGCTTTAGGTCAGATATATACTTATTTTTAAGGACTTATTAGGTTTCATATTCGTGGCTATCATATGTTGATTATAGAAATAGAATGGCTGATATTGTTCGAAGAATTAAACATTTTAATGGCGCAGTTTAGGATATTTGAAAATTTAATAATCAAAATTTTGAGAATTATAAAAAGAGAACTTTCTGAATTTTATTCAGTACGAAGAATTATTTAAATTCATTTTGAAAATTAACAAATATGAATACGGCAAAATTTATTGTCCAATTAATAAGCATTAGAGACTAATTACTAATGCTGTCTCTATTCAAATCATTTTTTTAATATTGAAAATCCATGATAAATTTTATTTAAAGTAACTGATAGATTTTTTTTTAAAAAGAAATCAATCGTAATGAAACTAACACTTTTTTGGAGGCGCATTGTATAAAACTTAAAATAATCAATGTTGGTATGATAATATTAGTGAATAATGATAGGATACAAGTGATCATCATGACAAGAGTCATATTGTCTTCTGGAATATGTTCTGATAAAATTTGAACTGTGCATGATTGATGCGGGTTTGATTCAGAAGAGAAGTATATTTCCGGTTTGATTCTCCTTCGAGGAAGCTTCACTGAATTGGTGAAAGAAGTTGAACTGACCCTAAAGAGGATGACACGAGAGCAGTGGAAGAACCAACCAGTTATGAGCAATCCTTAAGTGAGAAAATACCTCGACAATTATATTCAAACTCTTCATATACGTATTTTCCTGATATTGTTAGAATAGCAATTAAATTTGCTATAAATACTCACCGATGTTTTTCAGAACTTCATTGTTTTTAATACGATATTAGTTGAAGTGGTCAATTCAAAAAAATATTCGGAAATATTTATGCATAAACTATGAGAACAGGTAATTTAATCTTTCATATTTTTGATTTATTACTTATTGCTGTAAGTTTATCAATTTGAAAACGATCAAATGTAGTCTAGAAATGATCATTTAACGTAAAAATGATCAAATGGCGATCAATTTATTGCAATTTAACCATTTACAGTATATTCATTCGAAAATGATAAAGTCGATTTCGACGATCATTCCTATTTTTCCTGAAGAGAAATAAATTGAAAATTAGCTAATACTTCCACAAAAGCCTCAAAGGCACTAACAAACAGAAATGTTTTTTTATATAGAGATGTTGTATTGTTAGCATATTCATTACATTAATTTCAAAAGTTGCTAGCAATAGCATATAATATTTAAAATAAGTATTATATTCTCTGATCTGATTTAAAAGTAATGAAATGTAGCAATAATCAATCAATTGAAAACATCTGCTAGCAACGTTAGCGTCATGTTAACGTGAAAATTTAATTTTTAATATCCAAGCTACTAAGAGATTACTTCATGAAAGATTTATGATGTTGAAAGTGAATGAAAAATGTTTAAATGTTTTGTCAGAAAATTGGTTTTGCTTTTATATATTACAAAATTTTGTTTTACAGAATGATACCATAATTTAATTGATATTTGATGATTACACTAATATCGTTAATATGTGATCATTAATATTTTGTGGAGTTTTTGATTTGTTGCTATGTTCAACCCAATTTTGATCGTTTAATTTGTTAATTTACATTAATCGTTTAATCTTATCGTATTTTTGCATGTATGCATCCATGTTTGTAAAATTGCTTACATTGACAATTTCATCAATTCGATAATTTTAGAGTCTTAAAATTAAAACATAACTTCCGTCAATGATTCCTTTCTTAGTTAGTTAGTTAGGGCACTAAATAAATTTCAGTCGCAGATGTTGTAAAAAAATCTTTGTTTGTCAAGTATTCAGGTAAAAAAAACAAATGAGAAAAGCACTTCAATATTCTGGCAACAAAAATATAAACATCGTGAGGGCATATACAATCGAAAAGTTTTAATTACAATTAAGCGTCAAGATTTTTTTAATAAATAGATGCATATTGTCAAAAAGTACGACTACGGTACGCGTTTATACGTTATATATTTTTCTACAACTGATGATATAATTGCAACAAAAAACATTTCAAACGATAATAACATCTTATGTCATCTTTAACGTTTTCCTTTACGTGTTACTTATCACTGTATCTGTTGATAAGAAGTTTATCACAAATGCATCCGTAATCATATTGCATACTGCCAACCATGTAAATGCCTCAATAATTTAAACATTATTTAGCACAAATTTAAAATAAGCTAAATTAACTATTGCAATATTTCAATAAAACAAATATCTTTTACATATTCCATAATTATGCAATAATAATCGAATAACTTTTTAGTTGTATTATTTTTTTCTACTATTCTTTCGAAAATTTTTATATTTTTGAATAATTAAATTAAAAATAGTAAACAAAAGAAGACAGGATGAAATTTATTTAAGTGAAAAGAAGAAGAAAAAAACGTCGTATGATTGCTCATAATAAATATTAACAATGATTAAACTTCGATATAATAAGGCACGAAGATAAACTGATGTCACAAAATAAGCTGTCAATAAGCCATATGGAACACTGAACCACATCAATCTGCTCACCTACAATTTCGCAATAATATAATTTAAGAATTCTTCATCTTACATATTGATATCATCCATTCATCGTTTTACTCGTCGTTAATTCAGAATTCTAACACGCGAAAAATATATCGCATCCATATTAGGTTTGTTTCGATAAATGTTCATCATTATATTTAGTAGTATGCATTAATTATTGATTATATTTAATTTTTTTAATGCAACTTTAAATATTAAAAATTATTGAAAGATAAAAGTAATGTAATGGATACAAATTTCTTTTTCTACTATTCTTTCGAATAAAACTATTTAATTTAGTGACAAATCATTGGAGAGGACTGTAAACAAAAATCATTTTTAGGAATTGATTAGAGAGGAATGATTAAAGGATAAAAAATTAAGCTATATAAAAGTTAATAATAACCCAAAGATATTTTTTGTGTAATCCAGCAAAGACATCGGCCACTGCAGTAAATGTCCAAATGACAAGAAGTATAAGTAAGATAAGACCAATTAGAGGCATAAAAATTTGTCCATCATATTTTGCATTTGCGAGAATAACAATTGCATTTATTGTCGAAATTAAGCTCGTTATCTACATATCATATCATATCATATCATATCATCTAATGATTTTACAATTTCTCATTCTCTAAGTTATATTTTATTATGAAAATTTTATCAAACTCATCAATTATTGCTACTATTGTTTTTTTTTTTTGAAAATTTAATTTTTCTCTTTTATGAATTAAGAAAATATCATTTCCATATGTGATATTATATGATAAAAGATGAATGAATGTTAATGACAGTGAAACATACTGCAGCCAAAGAACGCATAGTAAGAATAGCAACATTAAAACTGCTCATAATTAAAAACCATCCAACAATGATTCAGAAACTGCAGCACGCAAAAGTTACAACCACTGAAAATGCTTGACGCAACAATAATTTGCTAATTTTACATAACGCTCAAAATTATGAATAATTTTAGAAAGGTTAAATTTTGTGCTTCGAATATTTTGCAATAGCTTTTATAAATAAATATGAATGTTTTTATTTTCGGATTATTTAGGTAAGCAAGCCGAGTTTCGATCCTAAAATTAAATTTGAATCTTATAAATGTATAATAGTTGAACTGAAATGTATTATAGTTTTAGAAATTTTAACAAAGGAAAAAATATATCATTGCTTTGATGATTTCATTTGAAATTGCTCGTAACTGAAAGATTATTTGATCATTTAGTATAATTCATTCCCCTTTTGGCATGATCCAACATCAGAAAAAAGCCCACTACTAATTAGTTATTACAAATAAAATAGTTAAGAAAATGAATTTTAGTTCAATAAAATTAAATGGCAAATTATATTGATATCCTCCAGGTGTTCATTATTGATCAATTTCACTATGCATTCAACAAAATATTTTGTCCATTTTAAAGGTTGCATAAATTTGCCTCTCTTGCTAGTTAACAGCTGAAATGTAATGTATATTTCCAACGATCATAAATTTTCCACCGATGCCATTCGACACGTGTAACATCTCTCAATTTTGATTAACTGATATCTTATTCAAACTATACTTGTGAAAGAAAATTATGTTAAAGCAAAGTTTGTAACAGTAACTCCTAACAGAAATCAAAAATTGTGATATGCTTGTGATAAGTATGAGGTTTCCTTCAAAGAGGATCGAAGTGCTCAGAATATCGATGAATGATAAATTGTACCGATCGAATGTTTTCCTATTCAAGAATACATCTCTAATTGATTTAATGCTTTTATTATGAAATATGATTGAGAGAATATAAGTCAAACTCTATTTGGTGTATATTACATAGGTTCACATAAACATGATGATATTACAAATTTATGCTGAATACGATGATAAACAATTCGAAAATTATTAAACTATAAAGACAATAAAGACTGTATTTCTGTTTTTATTATAAATTACCTATAGAAAATATGCTGTCAACAATGAATTCCGGACAGATTTTGTCTTGTTAAATTATAATATCTTGTGAAAATTTTTCACTTCTTGCTTTTAATTGCTCAAAAAAACACTTTCGTTTCTAACAACAACAAAAATTATAATTTAATATTTTTTTACTAAAATAAAAGACGAGGAGAAAAAATACAACTTACATATAAATAACAACATATGAAAATTTCATTTGCTCTAAAAGGAACTAAAGAAAATCAGGCTAGCCATCACAACAATAAACAAGCATTTTAACACGATACGTTGTTAAATGCATGATGACAAATTTTATGAAGATTATCATGAAGCTTTATAAACACATATATACCTGAAATACTCAACAACTCAAAGCACTTTTATATGTCACTGAGAATCTAATACAATTAAGCACAGCCATTTTGACTTCTCAAAGCTTATTAAACCTACTAAAAAAAACATTTTTTTGAATTATATTCTTTATCTCTCAGATCTCACTGAACAATGTGAAAAGTTAGATTATTATCGCCAACATGAGTAAGCATATTCATCCAATATATTGGATGCAATTTATTCATAAAGCATAGAACATGCCAGACAAAAGCGTAAAAGCTGTTAGACATTTGCTTGTTGCTTTCTGCAATTAAATTAGAAATACATGAAAAAGTGATGACTGAATTTGAAAAAAGGCTATTGAATGAACTGGAAAAAATGAACCGTTTATAATAAAAGGTATTACTGATATGGCAACGTAACAACTGATTCAAAACAAACATTTTCAACGTTAAAAGATACATAACTTCAACAAACTGCTTATTATAACAGCTGAGTTGCAGCAAGCCAGAGAAAAGGAACAGCGAAAAGCACGCACCATGTTTTCCACAACTAAATCAAAGTCATCAGAAAGTTGGTAATAAAACGAAAATCCTAAGAATGTAACATGACAATTGTCGAAATATCAAATGTGCCACAATGTATATGGATAAGGAACAACATTCATTCCTATCTTTCACTAAAGATGAGAGTAAATTAAAGGGTGAAGGAATCCCGTGAAGTCGTTATGTAGCAGTTTATGATAAAAATCTTCAATTTCTTACCCCATTCTTTTTAAAGATTAAAAAAATCACTGCTTAAATTTTTGAATATTATAAAAGAAAAAAGACAAATCATTATGAAATTGAGAAGACTAGATAGCGAAAGAGGTTAACAGTGGCATAATTCACGGCGAATAAATTAAGAATTTAGATTACAATATGACTCCCTAAACTTTTCAAAATTAACAAAAGAAGTAGAGGAAATTAACCGGCACTACTTTATTGCATCATACGGTTTGACCGGATATTGAAACCAGTTATGAACAATTAGAAAGAATATGAATTATTGAAAATTCTAAAACATAATCTTCCAAATTTAAGTCGAATTAAACAGCTATAAAAATTCGAAAGCTATAAATCACGGATTCTATAGAAAAATTCGTTGCATTCGAACGATCACATACATGAGTTGAAGTTTGTTGCATTCGAACGATCACATACATGAGTTGAAAAATATTCCCAGAAGTTTTAAGCGGGCTGGGAAATTATTTGGCGATGAGATGGCACGATCCAATTCAAAATGTATTTTTTTTAGAAAGTTTAGCTAATAAATTTAAAAAAGTCTACATTAGGCAATTTTTCGATGTTTGCACTTCTCTTTCATCAAATTAATTGAAGGCGTGGACTTACAAACAACATTTTCAGTGATCATAAATTGGCAACGGATGACCTTCCGTGTTAAAAACGTATTTGTCGAGAGGAATGTCAGTTTTGTCATCATCAAATAGAAGGTAAAGATATTTCAAAGTTTCAGCCAAAAAAAACGACTCCATCATATCCCTGAAACTAATTCGGTGTGAAACCAAAATGGGTAGTATTAATCAAAGACTCTCCTCAGATACTCATGAAAACAAAAATAATTAAATAGTACAACTTACTTATGTGTCACGGGTATTCTTTTGACGTTATTTACCGAAGAGTAACCATATTCAAGCTTTGCATAACTTTCGATAGCTTTGAAAACTTCCCATCCCCATTGCTGATAAATTTTGTCATCTGTTGCTCGGTAGAGATAAAACCAAGCTTCAATGGCTTCCGGTCGCAATAAGCTATGCGCATCCACATACTGTAAACAATTTTTGAATTAATTTCCCACAAGCTACTTTTTCTCACAAAGTATACTTCATCAAGAAATATGAAATTGCTAATACGCTGAGATTAAAGCTTAACCTACTTTGATTAAAATATCACGAGTACTTGCTGGATCGATGTTGAAATAAACGATTTCTGGACCTAAGCCAGTTTTTGTTTCGTACATTTTATGGCATCCCTTTGCAATATCTTTTCCAAGTTCCATATGTTTTGGTGGCAAACCATTCAAACTTCCCAATGCAAGAGTACCAGCAATAAAGCATGCCAAATGATCCTAAAATTTACGTCTAACAACATGATCATTTCTATTATACTGTGAAAAATGAAATGAGCTCTTCAGTAGCATGATGCACGATAAGAACATTTGCATGTCCTGAAAGGAAATTAAAATGTTACAGCCAAATGATTTCATCTAGTCATTCTGTAGTTGAAACCAACAGAATCAGAATATGAATGCAAAAGAGTTTGCTGTTGTGAGATATCATTTCTGTTATCAAATCAATTTTATCATTAAAAACCATTAAGTGCAATACCATTTTCGGAGAGTATACATTATCACTTATTATCTCACCAACGAATGCAAAATTATTCGGTTTTGTGTATTGTAAAAGATATTTTTCCATTGCTGCCATCGACTGGTTGTAATCATCTTTCAACCTAAACAACAGAGATCAGACGCAAAAAGTAATACTAAAATAACTTTTGGAAAATTGCTAGAAGAAAAAAAAATTGAAAAAAAAATGCTGCAAAATTCGTATAATTTTACCAATCGATTGTTTTGCCAGTTTGTAGCCACTGCTTCAACAAATATTCATAGTAGCTATCTGATCGTGCACCCATAGTAATGGTCGTATGCTCTAGAAAGGAGAAATATAAGCTAACAAAATTCTTGCCAAAATAATCTTGCATAAAATGATTTACTTTAGGGTAAAGTAACAACAAAAAAGGTAATCACCTTTAAATCGTCCTGTCACTGGACTGATAAACATACCACATAGCCCATCATATTGTGGACAACCTTCCCTGTGCACATGCTCGGATGTCCGGAATGCAAACATCTATATTTTTTAATTAATTAAATTCATTTCATTTAAGCTATTTTTCATTTTCCCTTAAGATCACAAAACAAACAAGCAAAAAACTTACTTCATAGGTACTGTTGTTAGTTATTCGAGAAAGATCTCGCAATTCTAACTGAACACTGGTTATTTCGGAAAGAGAACAATAAGTGTTCCACGACGGTTGCCTTCCCTTTCTGAAAAGTAAGCATATGAAAATCCCGCATCGAGGCTGTCTATCGATAACGCTTTTCTAACTGAACTGTTGCTAATGTCTTTTAGAGTTGGTACTTTTTACGTCTTGCCAATACATATCATCTGATTGATTGTATAATCACACATTTCAGCAAAAAATAAAGCTCACGAACTAATTATCGAAAGAAAAAAAGGCAACTCGTTGAAACCAAGTTTGATTGTGCGAACAATATTGGCGGTGCGAAATTTTTACTACGCACAGTCTTTCTTTCTCAAAAGAGATCTCTAAGAATAATAGTAGAAAACGAGGCAATTCATACAAAATGTATCATATTATTCAATATGAGCACAAACACCATTAGTGTTTAATGATGAGATATCTTTTAAAAATTGAAAGAGAAAAAGTTCCATTTTAAGCGTTTCCATACCGTGAAAAAATGAGGTCAAAAATGTCATTGTTCATCATTAATCAGAAATATAACTAGTCAGGAATATAATAACTCCAGCCGAATAAAACTTTCATTTACTCTAAGATACTTACATGCGATAAAATCTGAGCAAAAAAAGAAAAACAAACCTATTCATAAGGCTTATGTCACTGTATGGAACAGGAGATGAAGTTGCATAAGCAGCAACAAGGCGAGAACCAAGATCCTGAGCACGATGAACAAACATTTTGTCACCACTCAAATGATAAGCACTTAGTAAACCACCAAGTACTCGTATCGTTGTTTCGAAGAAACTCACAAAATTATTCCTCTCAAATGATAGCGATTCAGCAACCCAGTTTCGTCCTTCTTCGAATTCTTAATAATGAAAAAATGAAAACTTTTTTTAAAATAAAACTTTCATCCTCTTTCCCTCCTTCCAAGCTTTCTCATAATGAAACGAATAATTTGGAAGCGTGATTAATGTAGAGATTGTGAGTTGTTATGGTAAAAGAAGAATATTTTCATCCTTCTTTCAATTCTTAAAAAAAAAGATGGATTTCATGCCATTGGAATATGACAAGTGTACTAAAAGATTTAACAAAATCGACTAGCTAAAGAAGGATTAAGTAAAGCTTGCCATCATCAAGCCCCATAATAATGGCAGTTGATAACGAATCGACAATCGTTAATCCTAAACCAAACCAATCATTATAAGACTTCGTAACCGGTTTCAAATGATCATGTCCCCAAGCATACTTCTTATATCCTTTCCAGGCATGCTTGAATGCCTCAACCACTGCTTTTTGCTTGTCGTTTTGTGGCCCTAAAACAAAAAATAACCATTGTTGTAAAAAACAATCAAAAATAATATACGAACAATATAAACCCTCCAGGATCTGCATAAATTTTAATACCAATAACGAATTTAAGCAAGTAGTTGTTGTTAATTTTACAAGTAATAAGGAATACAGTAATAAATACGAATAAAAAAAGAGATTTTAATCTACCTTTAAAATGACTTCTTTTTTGAATCTTCCTCTTGCTTTCATCATTAAGGTCGTTTTCTTCATTGGTCTTAGATCCTTCGCGACTTTCATTCATCTCTTTATCAACCACTTCTTCCAGCGACTAAAAATTAAGAAAGTTACAAATGTAACAGTTGAAAACATTGAATTAAAGACGTGAGATGAAATAAAATGAAGTTTTTGAAAACTAAAACACTTTTATAAAGTTCTAGGAAAGATCGATTTCAAATTATACAAGTTATGCATATAAGTTGTGCATGAAAATTATGCCAACAGTGCGAAAACAATAACATGAACCTTATGATTATCGGGCGGTGCATCGATTGGTTGTGCATTATTTGCAGTATTTCGTGGTAAATAATATATATCGTCCACACCTATTGTACCTTTTGCAGCAATAAAACATATGATGAATAAAAAGAGGAGTAAAATGAGCACAGCGAAACGTTGTAAACGAGCTAATGACCGCCAATACTAAAAAGAAAAAAATGCCTTTTTTTTTAAATAAGGAAATTGCTTTCAAGATATTTAAAAAGTATAGCGCTGAAGTTGACTTATACAAGATCATCCTGCAGTTAACAAAACCTATAACTCTTCTCGTATCATACGACACGATGATAAAGTAACATTTAATTGAACATCAATATTATGCATAAGAAGTATAAAAGAAGTTTCTTACTCGGCATATACGTAGAGATGTCCTCCTTTCTGAGATTGGATTAACAAGAAAAGGCAAATGGCCTTCGCTACCAGAACGATATAATTTTTTCATTGTTTTGAATACATTCTAATTTACCATCATCGTTCCTTCATCAAATCTATAATTAATCGTTGAAATATAATGGAAGATAAACTATATCGGCTAGTCAAATCTGCATGTATAGTTAATGGTAAAACAGTTAAAACCTCGATAAATATGCATTTTTTGATAAGATGGAAGAAACTTATATTTTGCGTATCCATCACATTTTCTTATTTTTTTCAAAAAATCTGATAATTTTCAAATAAAATCTGATTCAAAAAATGTATATAAAAGCCTTGATAAACCCACTTAGAAGGAGAAAAAAGAGGTATTTTTGATGCAAACATCTTAATAACACCTGAACTAATTACTATGTAGATATATAATTGTGTCATATACACATTAATTAACGAGACAAACAAATTAAAGAGTAAAGATGGCACAGATAATCATGTAGATATCTTGATTTTTCACATGCATTATAGCATTGCTATTAATAAGCTGATTAGATCATTGTAAAAATGAAGTGAAAACAGAAATGTTTTACGTCTTAGCTTGTAATTATCTCAAGGTAAACTAGGTGAGCGTCGTCATAATATTTTCCGTGTAGACTACAGTGATATCTTGTAATATAAGCAGTACTGTGTTAAACTATCAATCATAGATCCCAAACGATGTGCAAAATCCTTACTCGTAACTATAAACGCAAATATTCCTGCTGTGTAACGCTACAATGGCAAATTGAATATCGACCGATTGACTAGCTCGATCGATGTGTCGGATGGTTGTACTCTTCGTATTCCACAAACAGCTCAGCATAGTAGCAAGTTTTGTGCACTTTTGCAGCAATAAGGATGGGCAGTATAGTCAGCGAAATTGGTCTACGTAAAAGAAAACCAGCCTAGTTGTGCCAGTTGTTACTGGAAACCGGATTAAAAGCTTTAATTCTTTACAGGAAATACTGACAAAAATACAACTGACTTGTGTTTCTGATTAACAGTTTAGATTTATCTTCTTATCATTTAACCTTACAACCTTCATAAGTAAGGAAGTGTTACTTAATTAATTACTTCCTGTTACGAATTCCGGAATTTTTATCTTTCGGAGAAAAGATTTCGATTTTCCGAGCTTCTTTGAATGTTATTGACGAACTCTTTCCAAAGGAATTACGCCATTTCGTCATTGATTGTGTAATGAAATGAAAAACTGTGGTAATTTGAGGTATAATATCACTAAAATTGGTAGCCTTTGGAATTCGCTGAATTAAAATCATATTATTCGTTAATCTAATATATAACTTTTTTCCTAAATACTGAATGCTCGATAAGTCACTTTACCCGGCATTTACCGTTACTGGTAATATTGTCAGTTGTCAGTACTGATAATATTATCAGTAATTTATCCGTCTTATTGTACTGATTGACAGCATTTTGATAACAACAAAATATGGCAATATTATTTCCTGGTAATTTGTGTTGTCAGGTATAGGAGCAACCACTATCCCTGATCTCTGGTGTCCTGTATCGTCAGGTGTAGGAATAATCACTGTCCTTGATTTCCGATGATTTGTATTGTAAGAACGTCGTGTGTTTCCCTAGACTTGTATCCCCTACTGACAGATTTTGCAGTTGGTAATGAATTGAAACATTGAAATATCTCAGATATTGCGATAATCATTCAGGGCATAAATCAATACATTCTATCAATAATACCTTCAATTTGTTTTACACTGATAATTGTCGTTCAATTTTGTTGCAATTCATTAAGTTTATGCTAAACGTCATTTTGAATATTTTAAAATCTATAAATTAAAAAACAGTTTACTCATCCTCTTTTCCTTTTCTTTTTCTCTTCCACAACATTAAATCCAAATTTAGCAAATCATAAAAGAATCAGAAATTTCAAATTCTTAATTTACTAGTAATTATGCAAATTGATATTAACCTCTTACATCGTCATAATACATGGCATAATAATCACTGTCTTCTCGGAAATTCCTGGTTGTTGATCTTATTATTACTGGGACAGTAGAGGTAATAGCTTGTTTATGAACACTTGCTCTTTTTACCGTAACAGGTTTGTAAGTTACTGTAATATAAGGACCTCGTAATCTTCGAAGAGTGGGAACAGTTTGTCGGCTGAAAATTAAGATAAGATTGTGAAACCGATGTTAGCATTGACCTTTTCAGTTTTCTCAGAAAAAAATTTTTGAGAAATCAAAGATTCGAAAAGTGAAAAATAATAAATAACAAAACGAAATAATAACAACAGTAAAATAATAAATCCAAAAAAGCAAATAAAGAAGTAGACCCTAAAATTTTTGCTGGAATCGGTGTGGTAACATCGATTATTATTCTAGTCTGCCCGATTTGATCAATTTTTTCAGAAATTTGAGGCAATATTAGATCCAGATCCGGTATTTCATGTGGTGCTCTAGTCTGTGTTAAAGATGATATCGTAGTTGTTTCCGTTGTTGCAACGACGTCCGGTTTAGCAATCGTTTCAATACCGCCAATATCTGTGCCACTTTCAACCTGAAAATAATTATGAACAATTTGTTGAATGGTTTTAATTATTAAGTATTTTATTACAAAAAAAAAAAACCATTCTTTACTAATTCACTTATAATTCGTCGTATATACCATTCATTATTATTTTCGCCTTTTATTTTACAACTATTTTATCTAAAATTTCCAATTTATTAATTGCTTTTTACTTCCTATTTATTTATTCCTTTATATGCTAAATAGGATGATACTCCACGTAGGATGGAAATGCCAGATGATCCAAACCTACGGCGTTGTAATAGTCGATTCCATCAATGTTCTCAGCAATTTCGGGTAGTTCTTCGGAAGTTGGTTTTTTTGGCTTTCTAAATTCACCACCACGGCCATTTTCAATCATCTTACTGAAATCGATACCAATATCGCCGTCTTCCGGACCAATTTCTGCGAAAAGTTAATTTTAAAAATCTACGATGATTAGTTCTCCGCATTATCTTCGTTTTGAATACATCTGCTAATAAAATAGAAACAAACTGATAATTGATACCTTTACCACTGTTTTTCGATGATTTTCCTGCACGAGTAATATGTCCAACTAAATTCTTCATGTTACCACGATCACCTCCTACACCACTGATGATTTGAGCGATCAGATCAGGATTTGAAATGAGATCACCGAGAATCTCCCATCCTTTCGGATCTTGTATTAGTTGCAGTGCCGTCTGCAACAATTTGTATAAATATTCCATATTCGATCCAAGCTCTTTACAGTTAGATCAGTAAGGTTATAGTTCAGACCAGAAAAGCAAAAATGATCTATAATTATTTAAAAAGGATGTCTTTATATCAGTGAGCATTAATTTATATCTATCAATAACTAAACCAATTGCAAATTTCCAAAATTGATATTTATCAATTAAAAATTAATTAAAAAACTATTCACCTGAAAATTAATGAAAAGTTCACTTTTCCGAAATTCATCAATAGCTTTATAAATATCTCCACAACTAAGCCGATTACAAATTCCCAATATTTCCGGTAAATTAAAAATACGTTCATCGAAATTTCCCTTTGAACCAGTTAAAAATGCTTCAAAAATTTTTGCAAAATCAATTGGTTTTGCTGAAAATGAAGAGATATTAGAGAGAAAAAATAAATTCATTAGGAAAAAGCTAAGAGAACATTAATAGAAATAGCATTAACTTATTAATAATAAAAAATTTTAAATAATTAGTTATCTTTTATATCAGTAAAAATAAAGGAAGTGTTGCAAATGACAATGATAAAGTAAGGGAGCATTGATTTATCACATATCACTATGATTGATTTATGATAGATAAAAGGAAACGATTAATTCATGAATTGTTTAAGAATTTTCAAATGAGTAGCTGTATTAGGAAGCGCTGTTACAATCTTCTTATTGATCTAGTAACATATGGTAAGATATTGCGATCGTCTTATCGGGAAGTTGGGAAACTTCTTGAACGATGCAATAGGAACTTAATATAATAGGAACTTAATGAATTAATTATATTTTATCCATGCTTTTAACCCTTGCTAATATTTCATCTATTTATTTTGAATAAGTTAACAGTTGATGAATTAGTTCCCTTAATTGCTGATGGTTAATCACCTACCCACAACTGTTTAAATATAAATGTGATTGTGAGAGCGCAAGTGATCCCTTCAACTTCGTTATATCCTTTCTCTTATTTGTCTGATAACATGTATCGATTGCAAATTACATTTTAAATTTAGTAGAAATTATTGAAATCAATTTATCAAAAATTAATATCAGACTTGATCTGGGACAGCGATGGCCGAGTGGTTAAGGCGTTGGACTTAAGTTCCAATGGACGTAAGTCCTCGTGGGTTCGAACCCCACTCGCTGTAGGACAGTTTTAACGAATGTTGATAGCTGCATGCAGAGGTAGAGGCATGGACATATCGGGGATGGAGACCGTGCCTTTTCTTTCCACCTGGTTTCATAAAAGCAATGCATACGCTGTTTAATAAATCTCATAGAAACTACGTCTAAAAATTAGTCTCGGAATGTCACGAAATATTTCTGCAACATCCTGAAATTTCTTCCGTCCATGAAATAGCTTTTTTAATCTTTCTGCAATTTTGCAGAGTCATTTCTAGTACTTTCAAATTGACATTTCAAAAGTCTTTTTCGATTGCTTTAAAATTTTTAGAAATTTTTTAAAGAAAATTTTATGGTAGTTTCTGAATTACTATTACTGAATTGCTCTAATAATGTGGAATAAAAACTAATAATAATTAAACTGACAGGTTACTAAGACTTAATGCGAAATTTAATTTTAATTATTAGTCTCATTAAAAAAACAATCAAAAATCAATAATAATTGAAAAAATATATATTAGGTAACTGACCGTCTATCAAGAAATCAGGTAGTAATGATAAATCTAATTCATGATAAACGTTAGTCGTCTGACTGTCATCATTATCATTTTTGCTAATCCCAATTTTATCTCTTATTTTTCCCGTAATTTTACGTCGATCATCAAGGATATGAAAAACAGCTGTTAGCACACCACGTGGACCAAATAATAAATCTGCCCATGTCGTATCTTCCGCTGTTGTCTTACCTTGAAATATTTGAATACATTTCAAATATCATTCAACAAAATTTTCACTCTTCATAAACAAATAAAATTTTCATTGAGTTAAAAAAAATCAATGAACAATGAAAAAGGTCAAATAGAAAAGGTTATAAAGAAAGCATAGCTTTTCTAAAACAATTATAACAAAACATATTAAGGTTATTATGTGATGAAAATAGTCAGATACTCGAAGTTCGAAGCTATTCTTGTAATAATATCATGATAATCACGTTATTATTCTTATTCTTGAGAAAAGTAAGATTAAATCAGAAATCATTTTAGCATCTGATAGAATCGACTAAGTTAGTATAAAACATTTTTGATCGAAAAATAAAATGAGAATTTAAATAAATCGTTTCCATTTCAAATAAAATTCACATCTATTGGAATTAATGATCCGAAACTCTCATACTTTATATTAATTACACTATAATTTTCTATTAATTAAATTATACTTCGAAGGTTGCGTTTGTGTGTAACACCCGGGATATTATCGAAATTAGATGCTATCAATGATTTTCTTCCCATTTGAAATTCATGTGTTCCTACTGATATCGGTTGCATTGGTTGTTTTCGTCGAATAATTTGCTGAAATAAAATTTTAGTTTTTTATGATCTAAACTTTTAAATTTCAATTCAAAAAAAAAGCTCAATCATGTAATGCCTTAAACAAGGAACTTTCATATATTGAGCATTCTGTTCTTGGATTGCAATTCTTCGGAATAAATTTAACATATCAGCAGCACTTCGAACCAATGATGAAAGTTGCATAGGTAGTTGCTTGTTCTTTCCTAAAACAAACTTTGATATATTTAGCAAAGCGCAGAGTGAAATTCGAACATTGATTTATTGGTTTTACTACTGTTTGATTAATTGCAATTAATTTAGCTTATTAGTTGAATATTTTATTCAGCATCAAAAATCATTACCTATACTGATCATACACATTTAGAGAACTGAAGATGTCTACTTATTTTAAAAATTATAATTAACAGAACAAATTAATTAGTCTACAAATTATGTTTTTGTATATTTTTGTTTTTATCTCTCAGATCTTTTTCAATCAAAAAATTTTATTTAGGTATATATAATTAAATTTATCATTTAGTTTAAAATAATTTCAATTAAATAGCATATCTTCCATAATATCATTGCAGGATCAATGTTACAAACTTTTGTTTGTATGAATTACTTAATAATCATATTCATCGATTATGCATTTTCAAATATTATTTACTTATTTCTAGAATCATTAATAAGGTTATATGAATCTTTTAGGTTGAATGAATCAATTGGATATTACTTACCAATTTCCACTTTTCGCATTGGCAACTGAATCGAATCATTTGACAATTTATTACTTACAGAATTCTCTTGTTTAATTTTCAACAGTTCACGATTTTTTTGCATAATCAAATCGTTTCGTTGACAATTTCTCAATGAGCATAAGCCGGCTGTATTAGCATCATTAACAAATTTCTGTCTTGTAAAAACGCTATTTAGCTTCCTATGAAACTGTGACATTCGATTGGTCTTGTTTAAGATCCGGAAACTTTGCCGTAATTGTGTTGTATTAAGACTTGGAAATATTACAGTACAGCGAAGTTCACTAATATTAATTAATATTAGAAATGTAAAAATTGAAAATTTCACTAAATCGACGATAACCGCATTCATAGCAGAACTGGTAGTAACAAGTGATAGGGGTAATAGCAATGGTAGCATGATCATATCACATCGTCAACCATTAACTCATTCATTCGTTCTTCTGGAAAATTTGATATGAAAGAGAACAGACAGAAAAGACAAGAAGAGAGAAAGAAAGAGGAATAAGTTCTGATTTCTATCTCTTCATATTTCAATCGTGTTTTGCCAGCTAAACCTGATTATGAATCATCAATAGAAAAGCTCATCGATATACCATCACTACAGATCATTAACTGTTTTTTTCTAGAAAACTGATAATTCCAATTATTTTGGGCTTCATCAATCTTCTCTATATCGTACATTGAAGGGCTTAATTACTAATTTCCGTTTTCATTTTAATTCGAATATTTTTAATTATAATTTAAAATTTTCTATGTCTGCAAAAAAATTCATCGTCGAGAATAGCATCCATGAATGATAGAAAGCAACAAATAATTATAAATTGCAAATTTAAAAGATTTGTTATTAAGTTTTCGATTTCAAATATTTAAAATTGCAATTTCTAAACTTTTGAAATTGTAAAATTTGTTGACAGACGAGTAAAAATTTGGCTAAAGAAAATGGGAAAGATAAAACGAAAGAACAAAACGCATTTTATTACTGATGATATTAATAATGTGAATAAAAATTTATATATGAATATTTTTGGCGAATGGGTAAATAAGAAGAAATGAGCAGCTACAGTTTGAGGTGCCGGATTTTGCTGTTGAATGAAAATGAAAATCCGGTTCTTCATAGGTTTAATGCATAACAATAATAGATTTTTCAAGGTGAACCGATTGAAAATAATTCCAACTTCGACAATCATCAATTTCAGAATGAAATTTTGTCGTGATAGGAGAAAAGTTATCGCTACTTTTTCCTTCGTTCTTTTGTAATCTTACAATTTCAATGTCAAAAAAAGGAATCATAAATTGAAAAATAGGAAGGAAAAGAAAAATGGGATAAGATGAAACCTGATTTTTTTAATTTGAAAGAAGAAAGTTGGCAATAAGAGAGAAATCATTAATGAATTAAAATCATTAATTGCTAATTAATACTTAAAAATTTTAATACTTTTGAATGAAATTGTACTTTATGTATTAAAACTTGGAGAAAAGACAAATAGATTATAATTCGATTATAATCACTAATGAATTAAAACCATTAACTACTAATTAATACTTAAAAAATTTAATACTTTTGGATGAAATTATACTATATGTATTAAAGCTTAAATAAAAATTAATACATTATAATTCGATAATAATCACTAATCAATTAAATTCATTAATTACTAACTAATACTTAAAAAATTTAATACTTTTGGATGAAATTACACTTTATGCATTAAAATTTAAATTGAAATTAATACATTATAATTCGATAATAATCACTAATGAATTAAAATCATTAATTGCTAATTAATACTTAAAAAATTTAATACTTTCGGATGAAATTATACTTTATGTATTAAAACTTAGAGAAAAGACAAATACATTATAATTCGATAATCAAATATAAACAATAATCTTTCTTTAAATTTTCATTATTTCAATTATTTACAGCTTCTTATAATAAATCAAACTTATTGCATTAAGCTTTTTTCATTTGAACTTTGTCTAAATTCATCAATTTCATTGATTTATGCAGAAAATTTTATCGGAAAAATATTGCTTGAATAAACAAAAGACAAAAATGAAAATTATAATTAGAAGTTTTTAAGAAAAGCAATTACAGATTAAACCCGTCGTATAAATGACAGAAATTTGTTGAATTAAAAATCGAAAAATTTTATATATAAAAAATTCATTGAAAATAAGCGTATCTAATTATGCAATTTTAGTTAACAATTTCATTTCATTTTCTTCATATCTTAATTAGAACAATTTTACTACAAAAATTAATATTGCAATTTCAATACTATCATTAATGTATCATCAATTTCAATACTATCATTAAGATCATTAATGAAACAAACATCGCAGAACATTTAATTGTAATCAAATGTATAAAGTATTATAATGTTAAATGCATTCAACAATCATCGGGAAATTATTGAGGAAGTGGTAGAGAATTTCAATGTTATGATTTCTAATTACATTTTTCAAAAGAAAAAAGTTGTTGCAAGCTTTTATTAATGTAAAGTACATTTTCAAACAATCCTTAATTATCCTTGAGAAATTCCATGCAATCAAGTAAACCCTTCCGATCTTCTTTTTGTTTCAGAAGTTTTATCATTTTTTGTTTATTATCACTCATTGTATGATTCATGAATATATTCGTACTTTTCTTCTCATCACTTTCTTCTTCAATATTATCATAATAATCACTTGATCGCCTATTTCTTACTGATTCAACTGGATTTATCGGTTTAAACTGCTCCGATAGCATTGTCGGTGGTAGCGGTAATGGTGGTAACATGCTCGGTAATAGGAGCTTATTATTAAAATATGACATTAACATTTGCATTTCTTTTGTAAACAAATTTGCAGGTTGCATCACCATTGGTTTCAAAGTTTCCAGCGGTGATGTATGGAATATCATTGGTGCAACTGTTGCAAAAGTTGGAAAAGTAAAAATTAGTGGTGGAAAGGTAAGTAAGGTAGCTGGTGTTGATGGTGATGATGTTTGTGTTAGCATTGAATCTAAAGATATTGATGTTGCAGCAGTATTTGAATTTGAGGGATTTGAAGGACTTAGTAAATTTCTTGAAGGATGTGAAAATATTGATGTCCCTGATTTTTCTTTGAATTGCATCTTCTGTGATATTAATTCAGCATCATTGATTTTCCTCCCGTTGGTAGACCATGTTTGAGATCCCATAGTCTGATGAACTCCTAGTTGTATTGGTATAGGTGGTGCATCGGAATCATCGTAGTACGGGTCATCCTTTATAAGATGATGATGTGACTTTTTAACATCCTCTTCCATTGGTTCAATGGTTGAGATAAACCTAAAATAATTCAGTAATTTTTTTGCAAATTATTATTACAAACAAAAAAAACTGTAATAGTTAGCCTCATCAATACAACTTGCCAGTTTAAAATTATTAAGGAAAAGTTTTAAAAAATACCGATTAATAAGTTGAAATGCGTTTGCAAAAAGTTTGCACTGTAATGGAGAAAGTCCTTGTTCTTGGCATACCGTCAGTAATATACTTGAATCACTACAATATCAATTCAATATAAAGTGGATATAGCGATTGATTATTCATCGAAAATGCATTAGTTACCATCTCTATCTTATGGATCATTTTTTATCAGTCCACATTTTTTTAAATCAATTACTTGATCTATGAATAATGATAGAAATTCACAAATGAGAACAGTGAAATTTCGATTGAAATTAGACGTAGGTTATTTAAAAATTATATATGCAAATAAATAAGAAGATATCCGAATGCATCTGTTGACAAATCTTGACTCACAACAGGATATTTGAGTTAGATTCAGTAAAAAAAGTGATGAATGAATGAATTCAATTCAACAAATTACCTGGCAATCGCTTTACGTAATTTCGTATCAGCCAACATTTGTGCGGCCAAATTTAAATTTGATATCGATTCATCATTTTGAAAATTTCGAGCACTGCAGGTGATAAATTTGCATATTTTCGAATTACTTTTACAAATTGGAATATTATCTAAAGCGGAATGCTTTGGTAAGCCAAGAATTTCGGCATCTCTTCCTCTCATTGGCTCCGATTGCAACTGAAAATTCAATAATATTTACCGCCGAAAGCTATTCAAATCTTCAATTTCATTTTTAAAATAAATTCAAAAATAACAATTTAAAACTTTGTATGAGAAAAATAGAACTTTTTTGGATATCATCAAATCTGATTGCATTGGTTCTGATGTGTCGATAATTGGTCGAACAAAATTTAGCGCTCCTTCAATTATGTCATTTAACGATACTAAAAAACATTTCTAATTTTTTCTTTAGAAATAATTAAAAAGGTAATGTTAATTACTTTAATTAACATTTTAGTTAATAAACAATGTTATGTTTACATAATTTGACATAGAATTCATTGCGTGAAAAAATTTTAATAAATCTTAAAATTTCTAAAAAAAATTCATTCACATCGATAATATGAAGTTTTGATTGAAAAAATGAGCATTATTAGATATTAATTCAATAGGTTGCTGTCAACAAAATCGTTGTAAATCTAAAATTCAAACTTAAATATTCAATTTAATCTAAGTTTGTACACTTTATCTTTAGGACAAAGTGTAAAGTATGCGTAACAAACCTTGTCGTTTTGCATTTTTCTTGGTATCAGTAATATCATTGCCATATACAGAGAGTGATATGATGAAGATAGTAAATAGTGTAGGAAAATGAATATGTAACATTTTGCATCAACCAAAACGATTCATTAATAATATCTTATTTGATGCAGCAATATGAGATTTTTCAAATCTAATAGAATTTTTCTAAAAATAAATTATCACTTTTTTGTTTCATACTTGATGTGAGAAAACATTGATGACAGACGAAGTTTTATTAATATTAGTAACAATTAGTGTTAATAGAGGCAATTAAAGATAATGAAGATGATAATAATAACAAATAATAATAACGATAACGATAATAATAATAAATAACAATAATAATAATAAATAATAATAAATAATAATAATAAATAACAATAATAATAACGATAATAATAATAAATAATAAATAATAATAATAACGATAATAATATTAATAAATAATAGTAATTAATAGTAATAAATAATAGTAATAAATAATAATAATAGTAATAATGATAATAATAATAATGATAATATTTATTTCTTCTAAAATTGTAATTTTTTTCAAAAATTGTCCATAATCGTTCGAGATGATAAATTAGCATATCCATCCAATAAAAATCGTTGTTTTTATAATGAAACTAAACACCGTTAAAATTTCAGTTGAAAATTTTCTACCTTATAAATTGCAACAGAAAGGTAACAATGAAAGAATACAAAAATGAAACGAACACTTCCATTTAGACTTATTTCACAAATTTTAATGAAACTTTTAAGTAATTAATTCAATTACGAACAAAATTAAAACAAAACCTTTCACAAAATCATTTTGGAAATTTTATAAACATCACAGAATGTAAATTTTTCACCCTTTTTTTGTTTTTGGAAATTAAGGAAATTAATGAAAACAAAAAATTCTATACTATTTTAAAAATCTTCTATTAAAAAAGTAGAAAAAGAAATATCATTATATTTTTAGAGGTCATCCAATAGAGGTCATCCCTCAAAATAAATAAGGTCAATGATGCATTTGTCATCTAAAAAAATGCTACTACTAACTATCATACCACATTATATTATTTCGTTTTCTGAAACAAATGTTTTTAATTGGTTTTTTTTTTTTTGACTTCAATTAATTGATTTTAACTATTCAATATAATATATAGTATTATTTTCCGGATTTAATTAAAATTGTCGGAAATATTGATTCATTTTCTTTTTATTAATCATTACATAGTCCATTTATATTCCTTTGTTTAATGAATAAGTGATAAAATGATAAGTTTTATCAGATTTCATATCAGTAAACAATTATAAATAATATATTTTACTTCTCTCGAATGACAACTACTGGTTATTATTTAATTTATTCAAATAACATTTCAACAACAAAAAAAAATTGATCAAGTTGGGATGAAAATTGAATGTATATAACAATAAATTGTCTATTTTCAATGGAAGTAGAAAGAGAGAGGGAGGGAAAGAGAGAGAGAGAGAGAGGGAGAGGGAGAGAGAAATGTAAAACAAGTTTTGCGACCCAACAAGGAGAATTGAAGAAAAGAGGTCGTCGTCGTCGTAGTCGTCGTAGTACTGATGGAAAAAGGCATTTTCATTATGACAACACAGTGATAATTTGTATTATCCGTTAGATCCTTAAATGCTTTCAATCTTTCACTTTTTCATTATAAACTTAATTAAAAAATTATTTAAATTAATTATCATTTTTAATATTTTCCAATTTTCATCATTTATAGAAATCAATTTTCACATTACAACAATTTAAGTGATTTAAACAAATTATTTCGATCTGTTAGTTTACAAAAGTATGCTGTTAATTGAGCGATGAAATCATCTTATCGTTGGCGCAATTGTCATTATCCCACATTCATACAATTAACAGTAGACAAAAAATAAAGGAGCATTGAAACAAACAAAGAAAGTGTATTTTTTTTAATGTTGAAAATTTTCACAAATAAAATAAAATGTTTCAAAGAGAATCATAATGTTATGTGCATTAAGAAGTTGACGAAATTAAATGAAATGATAAATAAATGAAATGATAAGAAATGAAATGATAAGAAATGAAATGATAGTAAATAAAATGATAAGAAATATACCTAAAAGATTAAATAATATAAGATGATATATGAAAAGATAAAATATTAAAATATATATTAAAGATATTATCTTTTCCCCTTTTTTCTCTTTGCAAACGACAATCAGAAGATTATTAAGAAGTACTTCCTTTACCAAATATTTTTATCGGTATAGAATATTTCTGAGATATTTCCGTTATATGTACACTCTTTAGTTTATCCGTTAAATTAATCTAACTAATTTAGAAGTTTACTGTTTTACTTTCCAAAAATAATTGCATAATTATAGTAAGGGACATATATGTGAATATGTAAATCAATTATCGATACAGATGAATTTTGAGTATCATCAAAAAACAATCTTACTAAATTTTATTTATTCTCAATGTAGTTAAATTGCAAGAGAATCTTTTTGCCTTATGTCATGTCTAATCAAATATGCTTACATACAGGTAAATCAGGTAAATATATAGCACGTTCTTTGGGATAATAAAAAACACGTACAGGAAATACGTGGAGTTGAATATATACTATACTTACCGCAAAATTATAGGTCACTGTTACGGTCGCTGCTAATCGTCAACGTGACATACCGAAAAAAGTCGAAAATTTATTTCTCATAGATTCACACATAGAAAAATGTTATAATTATTTGGATAACTTGCAGAAAACGATAAGAATAAATTGACAAAGTGTATCATTGAATAAACAACGAAATGCATCATGTGGGATGAATTCGGATAATATGCATAATGATTAGGTTGCAGAATCTTTTCTCGCATAGATTCAGATGGAATGCATAGATATTTGGTTAAAGAATCTTAGATTCAGATGGCATGATAGATGATTAGATTTCAGAATAATTCCTTATCACATAAATGTCATTTTGTTACTATAAAAATGAAAAAGTATGCAATAATTATTGTGCCTTAACGTCTTTCCCTCATTCCTTAATGACTAATCACTACCGTTATGTTTAATAGAAGAGAATAAGTATTTGTTTGAAATGGATATTGATAGAATTTAATTCTATAAAGTTTATCAACGAATTGACAATACATGAGAAGCAATGCAATGTTACAGGTAAGTATCATTAGTGGATGCTTTTAAGTAGAATAATTATTATGCTGAAGTTGATATGAAAACATTTCTCTCAACGAATGATCATCAACTTTTCTGTTATGTCTCCTCTCTAATTCAGATTGTATTTTTTACTATCAATAAAATCTGTTAAAGAGATACAGCCAAAAATTAAGCCAAACATTTATGCTACTTCTAAATTAAGACTAATTAGATTCTTATACTCTTAAATTAAGGTAAATAATTTACAGACGATCTAATGACAGAAAAAAGATTATGAGTGAAAAAATTTCATTGAAATTTCAACATTTCTGCTCATAATAATTAATATGAAATTAAAGATTGCAATAAAACAATTTGATATGATAACAATAATTCTTATCTTAGTTAATTGAACTATTTTATTTTCAAAATATGATTATTAAACTTCTTTATTTTAGTATTACAAAAAGTATATATTTAGCATTGGAATGTTAAAATAGTATAAATTTTTTTTAATTTAAAATTAATCGATATTTAATAACTATTATTTAATAACTATTATATTGTCGGCATTTGTTTGTAAATGGTCCAGAAATTGGATAAATTGTTCCGATAAAATTTTTGCCTTGTTGCTTAAAATTATAACTGGTAACGAGAAATGGACATCCTTCCAATTCAAACTGAAAATGATGTAAAATTTTAATTTAATTTCATCAATTGAAAGCTTAAATAATCTTACAAACAATCTATTGGCTAAATTTTTGTCGTAAATTACTTAATTAATTGAATTATTTCAAAGCATTAATTATTAAAATTAGATTTTACCTTGCAGGTATTACGTGATTGACGTGTAAGAAAGCATAGTGTATAAAGTGCCAAATCAAATTCCGGACTTGTTCCTATGAAAAATGAAGTAACTCTTTTAACATGATTGCGCCAGCTAAATTTCACTGCAGCCATGAAATTCTAAAAAAAGAGAAAATTCTCTACCATTTCTTGAAATATCTAATTAACTATTACTTCTATTAATATAATATTTGCTTGAAGTGTGACAATCAAAAATGAAACATTCAATGAAATTGCTTGACCTTTAAAGTAATCTCATATTTAAAGTTAAATTTTTATATAAGTGATAATATGTAAATGAATAAGAAATTCTTTGTTTAATTTAATAATCACATTTTTTAAGCTAATTTCAATGAATGTTAACATAAACAATATAGTCTGATCTGATAAGATAAATTGATATATATATATATATGAATGTAAACATAAACAATGTAGTCTGATCTGATAAGATAAATTGATATATATATATATATATATAAATGTAAACATAAACAATGTAATCTGATCTTTTGATATATATATTAATGATTTAAGAAAGATAGAGTCTGATTCTTATTCATTATTATAGCGCATTTTCCACCTGTTATCAAAATAAATGCCAATAACTAACAAATCGTTTAATGATATAGCCATGATAATTAAGTTGTTGTGAAGCATTTCGTTCCAATAAATAAAATCGTATCCATGAATGCATTCCATTTATACTATTATCATTATACTGAATCATAATAATTGATGAAAAGATTATTCATTTCATTAGAGACTAATAAAGTAATTTCTTTTTATAGAGTTTAACGTGTAACTATGCTTGTTGTAAAATTTGTATTATCATTGAAAACAAATATATAACAATAAGTGAATGATAAATGATAATGTTATTAGTGATAAGAAATTTTCGAAGTTTCAAAAAAACTGAATTTTGATATAAAATTGGTAATTAATATAATAAATACCTCTCCCATGAAAACATGCTCAAATCCGCTTGAATCAATGAGACGCATTTTTCGTGAATATCCTCCAAACCATAAATGCCTAATCCAAATACGGAATGTTTTCAAGTTTACTGCATATGGATGACCTTAAAATAAAATCGTTGTAATTGTCCTTCCAAAAATTAAACTATTTATTCGTAATACAAAAAATAATTTAACAGTATTCTTTTTTTTCCTATTTTATAGGATACAAATTGTAAAATTTCAAATTTCAAGGACTAATTTTATTTAATGACAAATGAGAATGAAACAGATAATATAGTTTATTGAACTTAGAATAAATATTTGATTTTGTTTATTTAACCTATTTAACCTTTGTCATTCATATGATTTTATTTAACCTTTGTCATTCATAAAGTGAAAAAGATTTCTCCATATTGAGGTGTTAAAAGCTGCGTCTAAAAATTCATCAATAGCTTTATTCTTCTGAAATAATATTTTAAAAGTATTTTGCATCCAGAATTTTATAATTTGATAATGGAATCTAATTTGTTATGCATAGCTATAGTTATGTATAAGCCATCAAACTTTATAATTAATAATAAACTTGACTTCTATATCTCCAAATTTCATTTGATACTTTTATCTCACACTTTTCACTCTTCTTTCTTTCACTATCTCCTTTCTACTCATATTTCGTTATGATTGAAAAAATTCCTGCAACGATCAGAAAGTAAAATTATTACTTCCGGCGTGTTTTTTTCTTCAATGCCAGCTTCTGGCACGAATTCATTGCTGAGTGCAATCCATTTTTTATATGTATTTCTTTCCAGTAAAGCGGGATCCACTCGTTTGAAGAACCTTAAAATAATCGTTAGCAAAATTTTAATTAGCAAATTGCAAAAGTTATTGAAATGACAAATTTCGTACAACGATATTTTATCCTCATTAAACAATTACATCAGTGATCTTGTTATCTTTGTTATAATTAATTATTTCAATTTCAATTCTAGAAAATTTTATCATTAAGTAACAAATCGAAAATCAATAGTAAAAGTAGTAAATAAATAAGAATAATAATAAATACTAATAATAAATAATAATAATAAATAATAATGATAACAATAATAATAATAATGATAATAATAATAATAATAGTAATAATAATATTAATAATAATAAATATAATAAATAATAATAAATAATAATGAAGCAATAATTTGTAATTTATGAGTAAAATATGAATAAATATAGAATTAAAAATAAAATAGTATTGAAGAAATATAGTCAATAACATTTATTAATTGTTATGATTAATAATAAAATTCATTAAGATTTATATTCAAAAATGCAAAACTGCTTTTATACATTTCTTTACTTCATTTACTTTTTTCTCTGAAGATTCCAGCTAAAGTATCATAATTAATGTTATTACCTTTGTTCGGCTTTATCACTCGAATCACCAACTGTTGTATGTCTTTGATAATCCAAAATTATTTGCTCATTAGCAGCTTTATTGACATCTTGTTGTCGAAATTGTTTCACCAAATTTACAATTTCACTATCGCTTACCATATATTCTCATAAAAGTATCAATCAATCAGTCAATCAATCATTTTTAAATAGATTTAAATAACAATCACTTTTAAACAGATTTAAATAAATAAAGAAAAACAATTACCTTTAAACTTCAAATCGATCAATACATCTTTAAATAGAACACTTTAAAAAGTGAAAAATAAAAGAAATGAGTAATTGTTTATGTTGATACCTGGAAATTCCATCGATCGAATAAAAACATCAGATAAAACTATAATCAAATATAAAAATGACAGACACCACGAAGGGAAACCCATCGCTCTATAAAATTATTTAATTCACTAATTAAATGATTCAAATTTGATCAATCAAATACTTGAATGTCTTTCACGTCAAATATGTCAATCAGTACTTGATGTGTTCTTCACGTAAAACATCTGTTATAAATTAATCACTTTTTGATTACTTTTAATTACTTCTAATTACTTTTTGCTTGTTGGAAAGAAAAGGACAAATAATTGTGGTTATCTGTTATTAGCCATTTGTAAGCATATAATTAGATGTAAGAAATCATCCCATTGTGACAGGAATGAAATTTGGATAACATTTTATTCGATTGTGTTAATAAATTCATTGTTTCTCTATAATACATCTATAGGTACTAAGATGTATCGGTCTGTTTTACCACGATGTTTATGTTTTACTACGATCCCTTCCCATCATAGCCTTAATTAGAAACAAATGTGATTTCTACAATTATTTTTACTGAAAACCTTTCGTCAGATAATGAAGTTTAAATTTTATTCCAATAATGTAACAATTAGTCAAACAATGAATTTTTGATTTTAATGAAAATTTTAACGAAGGTAAGTTAGTCAACGATGTAGCAATCGATTGATATAGTTGAATATTATGACAGCTTAAGATAAAAGTAAGATGAAAGAATATTCAGTTACTTATCACTAATAACTGATAACGCAGATGTAGAATTATCATTAAAAAAAACCTGCAATTACACTAAAAATAATTGGTGATGAAAATTTCACATCGATTTCTGCTCTCTTACATTCTTATTGACAACTACAAGACAGCTGCTCAATTTCCGAACTATCTCAAAATAAAAGTGTATACCAATATCGATCGAGCAATTGAATTTTAAAAATATCAATAATTTTGTTATTAGATGATTTCTAGTGATCAGATTTCATAAAATTCGGCGACCAAATTTGACAAATCATTCGTTTGACAAATCACAAATCATTCATCAATTTGACAAATTCATAAAATTAAATTTACCATCTAAAGCTCTAAGATAATTGCTTAGTCACACGTGTAACGCTATCTAATATGTCGTTTGAATTACTATTGGTTACATATTGTTTGGATTACTATTAGTCAGATGTACATTGTTTATTTAATGTATTATTTGAATTATTATTGGTCGAACATGTATCGCTTGGATTTAATGATTGCACTTTTTTCGCGATCTATCAACATGTTGTTGAAATATTTGTTTGCAAACGGTAAACGATCAATTTTTAGTTTTGATTATGGTTAATTTCAAATCGAAATATATTTTGCCTTATTTCATCTCTAATTGAATTGTAATGTTCAAGTTGAATTCTTCTGGTGATATCGAAAAAAATGAAATTGAATACTTTTAAATTAAAATTTAAACTAAATTTATAATACTGTCACTATATGAGTTATATGTATGAATTTATCACTATTATAATACATTATAATAATACATATAATACAACAAAAAATTTACAGTATTTTTAATTTTTTAATTTAGGCATTTGCAATTAAAATGAATAAGCAATTATATGCAACAATCGAATTTCTTTTTACAACAAAAATAAAATATATTATGGGCGATAGATGTGATGAATAATTGAAGGAGAAAAATGAAGAATTATTATAAATTAATGTTAAAAAATAACAAAGGCCTTTTTCATTAACTTTTGCGACAATTAAAAAGTGCTAATTAAGATAATGAGCGCGATAATATTAGCAAAATGAAAAACAAATAACAGGCGGATATTGAAAGTGAAAAAAAATGCAAAAATGAATGCTTCGAAATAACAATTTCAATTTAATTAATGATTTTAAATTTAATTTTATAAAACTAATCATTTTATATTATACTTTCAAAATCATAAAAATATTTCGATGAATGAAATGAGCAACTCAATGAATTTAATATCAATGATACTAATAGCAATTCATTCATCTTCTTATCACTGTTAATGGTAAAGCGGAATAATATCAGTAGCAATATTGCTATTTTGCTCTTTCATTTTCCATTTTGCTATTTCTGCTTCATTGATTCTTCTTTCTCTTCCATCAAATTCAAATTTATCTTTAACCTTTCCTTTTCCTCTTCCATCTCGTTCTTGACATTGTGCTTTCTCTTTCTTTGCTTTCCCGATCAAATATTCTCTCTCATTCATCACTCGATCAAAATAGGATTTCGAGATGATATCGGGAGATTTTCGAGAACCATTCGACTGTATTTGTTGTGATTGTAAAGTTAACTGAAAATCTTATCGGATGATAAATCATATGCTTTTTTTTTTTTGAATTAATATCAAAAAAGAGCAGTACAATGTTATTTGAAAGTAAACAAGAAGAGATGAAGCCCACAAACTTGTCCACCAATCCAGGCCATATAATTTGAATCCAACGTATCATCTTCAGTTTCCTTTTCATTTTTAATTTGCATACTTACTCGTCTATTGCTAAGTAATCCATTCGATCGAACCTAAAATATATTTGTCAATTAAAGTAAGTGCAAATTTATATTACTAAATGTTTAATTTCTAGTTCTCATTAAACTGTTAAGTGAATTCCTAAACACTTCCATTTCTTCAAGCACAAATGATACTAACGAACATTTTGCTATATTTTAGTAATCAAAATTATATACATAACATCTTTAGTAGCTTTTACAATTTATCATTTTCATTATCAAAAACAAAGAAAAAAAATTAATACACTGTCAGCTTTTTTTGCTTTTGCTGCAATAGTTTCACGTGGATCTTGAAATTTTGGGATAGCTGCTCGGCTGGCATTTAATTCTTCTTGACTAAATTGTCGACCGCCCTTTACTTTCATTACAGCATCCCGATGTTTTCCTAAGTATTTTAAATTTTCGATTAAAAATATAATCAGATAGCAATGAATATGACTGAATAGCAATGAAACAAATAGATGCTGGCAATAAATAATTCGATTTATTAAATTCAATTTCTCCTCTCTTTCATCGTTCTTTTCCTTCTTGCTATCGCATTAATCTTAGAACTCACCAAATAATTGACCATTTTTAGCGTTCGGATTTGCTTGCGACCAAATTTTCAATATACATTCGCTTGTTTGATCGCCAACAATTTTGTTGATATCTTTTTTCTTTTCACCTTCCTAAAATAAACCTTCTTTCAAATATTTGTCACATACTTGCGAATTGACCCCAATTCTACGTAAATTTAATCAACAAAGTGTAGTTCATTTACACGATATAGCTGAAAAGGAAATCATGATCTCGATCTAAAGATACTGTTTCAATTATTATTTTAATTTATAGAGAACAGATAATTGAATATATTTATTTTGGATTTTACCATTAGAGGGGAGATCAGTAAGGTTATTCACTCATTTACAATACGGCGCTTCTTAAATGCGAATTTCTATTTTATTTGTAAACTGATTACATAATTACATTGTCACTGATACTTCATACTATTTGATCAATCAATCAATCAATCAGTTTAGCACTACCTTACTATCTGCTCAATGCTTTAGCTATCACGTTTAATGATATGATTTTCATCTTGAAAGATATAAATTAAAAAAGCGAAATGAAATTCATTAATTATTACCTTCAGGTTTTTGATGCTTTCAAATTTTGATTGGTATGAAAATTAAAATTTTGAGTTATATAAGAAAATATATAATTTACAACAACGTTTTTTATGAAAGGAATCACTTTAAAAAAAAAGATGGTTGAAAGAAAAAGAAAATTAATGAATGGATCAATTAGTTATATCTACAATGATCTAATTTTTTAATTAATTTTAGATAATTACTTTACCTTATCCTGCACTTTAATAGCATGCTCTCGAATTCCACCAAATGGTGTAAGACCTGCTTGAGATGCAAGTTCCTTATCACGTAATTGAGGACAATTCATCCATGGTACTACACCATCATTACTTTCGCTTAATTGTTTACTGCATTTGATTGTTGTTGCTGAAAGGCAGAAATTCCAAATTTTATGTTATTTTAAGGTCAAAAGTTAAGATGCTCGATTTATATAAATGTATTCTTGTTACTGAATTAATTTAAATAATTTTAATTAATATAATTATTCATTAAATTCTAACACAAAACAAATATGAATTGTATGTAATAAAAACTTTTGAAACAAAAAGTTAGCAAAAAAAAGGCCCACCATTCCTAAACTTGTTGCTCAGTTCAAATTTTTTCTCTATTATTATCATCGTTGTAAAATAGATAACAATATTTCTTAATTGATAATTCCCGAGTGATTAGATATTTCTTAACTTATAATTCCCGAGTGACTGATAATTTAAAGCTTGAAAAAAAAAGATGAACACATTTGGTTCATTGTATTGTGATATTTGATTGAAAATGTACAAGAATAAATAAATTCAAATCGATTTAATACCAAAGAAATTTTAAAGTATCTTACTTGGCAAGCTAAAAATCTTACTTAAAATAATTACTTGAAGTTATTTTAATGATATTAAACAAACACTAAAAGCAATAAAGCACAACAATACTTAAATTGAAATAAGATTTTAAAAAATGATGGAGAAGTTTTCAAATAGAGAGAGAAAGTCGCTTTATGTCTAAAATAACAAATTTCAATAGACAATTATTGATTCACGCAATTCAGGTTTGCGTATTAAAATATATCAAAGTTTGAAAAAAATTTTTCCAGTTAAAAAAATAATTAATTGATAATATTTAAAAAAACATGCATTAAATTTTTAGAATTTATTATGTGAAATTATAAAATCAAAATGGTACTTACTGGAATTTCGAATGGTACCAAAACCACCGGTACCTTTTTGACTGGCATATTTATTAGATCCATATTCCCATGGAATTACGCAAGGAAGAATGATTTTACGGCGATGTTGTATTTCTTGTTGTTTCGCATATTCCTGTAGCTTTATATATCCATTGGAATATAGGGTGCAAAATGTACAGTGCATAAAATTGTAAGGTAAACGATGCTGATCATGGTAGTTCATCAGATGATGATGTTGCTGTTGATTATTGAAGTTTGAATGATAATAGTGAGAAAATCTCATTGGCTTATCTTGACAATGATAATAATTAGAAAAGATCATGATTATAGTAATATAAAATAATGATAATTTCTTAATAAAACATTAAAGATGTCGATAGATCAGAAATTTCGACATTTTCAAAAAATTCAACATTTTTCTGACACCACAAATTTCTGTGGAAAGTAGATTTGAATTATACGAAGATCTTGAAATATCCTCATCTGATGCTTTAATATTTCTACTCATCACTATCGATGTTGTAGAGAATTTTCGATAGCGATAATTGGAATATGAGAAGCGGTTAATTCCTTCAACTAATTCGTTGCACCTGAAGACCGGAAATTTCAGCAGAAAATGTTGCGAAATGAGTAGTGATGCAGGAGGAATTAATTGTCTGGACGGAAGTGTTTGAGGATGAATGCGTTTGTTGTGAGAATGACTTGGATAATGAAATGAATTATTGAAATGGATAACTTGAACTGAAATGGAATGCAATTCATAGATCTTAAAGTGAAATGAAAAAGATCCCACAGAACATTAAGTCAGCTGAATTTCGCAAACTTAATGAACGAATTAATTGATATGTGCGATAGTTGCAATTTTAAATGATCACATTTCAAAATCTTTTCTTCATAATGACATAAGACCAATGCCACTTCAAAAACACTTTTTTCTTCTTTTCCTCCTCATACTGCTATCTTGACTGATAACATCGATCTATTTTCATTTATCAATTTTTTTCAACGGCTGTTTATTGCTGTTATATTGCCAAATGTATGTACATGTATATGTATGTAAAAGTACATCGTGAATCAATTATTTTGAAACAAGAAAAAGATTTCGAATGACTGGAAACTGATATGCCATCCCTTAGATTTAAGTTTCGTAAAGATACTATAAAAATTGAACGAAAACATAAAAGCAATAATGGTTGAAGCAGTGTTATTTTGTAGACGTAGCAATGATATCATTGCATCAGAAGTGTATTCTGTCATGCCTATATTTATTGATTATGCATAAATACTTGCTTACAAGCCTTAAAATTAATTTTTAGTGCAAAAATTTGAGTGTCAAAATTTATTTGAATAGAAATAACTTATGCGAAGATCTGAATGATAGGTCCAGCAGATGCACAGAGAAGAATGATGATTCAGCAAGTAGAAAATCAATGAAAACAGAATTTCACTTCATTTTTATTACCTGAACTTTGGTTTTTATATACTATCTTAAGTTAAGGTTAAATTGAAAATATAATTTGTATTGATGAAGAAAAAAGGATAGGAAACGTGTCCATATATATCAGCACGACGGTAATAAGAAATATCATTTATGGTCACGGATCGGGCCCAGGGTCATTTCGAACATTTGATACTAGGTAAATCCATCATTCAGAGTCATATTTATTCTAGACCGAAAAAATTGATATAGAAATTCAAAGATAAAATTTTATTTGAATATTCGGAATTTTAAAAATGTCGTGTTCCAAATACTGGAATATTAAGAAGAAAAAAAAAATATTAAATTTCGTATTTTATGAATGATATGATTCTGATATGATACTGTAAACAGTTAAGAAATTATTTGCTCTCACATTTAAAACGAATTCTTCTCTCTTCAATGATTGGAATGATCAAATTTTACAAAGCATTAAATTGTGAAATTAATTTCACAAATTTTTTTTTTAAATTTCACGCAAATAATATATATAATAAAATACATGAAAAATGTATTATTCCAAATATATTATATTATATTATTTGTCCAAATATATTATATTATTTGCGTGAAATTTAAAAAATCATCTACCTCAGTAATACTCTTCTTCTTCAAACATCGTAATCAACATTTGAATTTAAGAAATCAATAAAATTAGTAAATATCGAAAATATTAATTGTGAAAAAGTTTATTAATTCCTTTTAATAATTTCAACAAATTTATCGCCATCTATAAATATTCAATTAAAACATACCGTTTTTTTATCCATTCTACTATCGTATCACTTTAAAGATTTCCGTTGTAAAGAATGAGAAAATGAGTACACTGTGTTCTCTTGTATAAATTATTTGAAATTTGAATGATTCGTTACTGGTTCGCTTAAATCAATTTCCATCAAAAAAATACTTGAAGAGATCGGTTATTTTAACTTCATCATTACCGCTTCTCTATGTTTACCTTCACTTCAGGCAAATAAATACCTTTAACTCTGCTCCACACCTGAATAACACAATTATATATGTATGGTAAATTTCTCCTAGCAAGTCACAATTAATATCTTCTAAGCGTAATTTAAATTGTTTCATTAATCAATGTTTCAATGATAATGGACATTTTCGTATGCAAAAAACAAAATTTCACTTGATGGTAGAAGAAGAATATAATATGTAACTGTAATTCATTTCTTTTGAAAAAGGTGAAGGTGAACGAAAATTAGGGAAATCGGAAAATTCGTTCGCTTTGAAATTAAATTTAAATTTTGCAAGTTTTGTGTTTGTTCCAATAATTTGCTATTGACATTTCATGTACATCTCGTAGAGTAAAGAAGAGAAAAGAAAGAAAAGATACTAAGAAGTTTAAATAAGCTTTAAGTGAATTGTAAAAAAATAAAGTTGAATATAAATTGATGGAATTGATTCAAATGATATCTGTAAACTAATTATTTAATCGTATTGGTTAGTTTAAATTCTGTTCAATTAATGAGTGAAAAATGCTATGGCGCACAATCTTCATAATACTTAAATACTTAAATACTAATATTTAATTAAATGAAAAGGAATATTTCGAATAAAAATAAAGTATTATGGATAAAATAATAACATTGTATTTTGTGAGCTGTCATGAGATTTCACTTTTTTATCATTGAAATCATTTTGAAGAATTCGAAACAATTAAAATAAATTCAAGAAAAATGAATGAACAAACAGCAAAAACAGAATAATTAAGTTATAAATTTAAAAAAGAAGTAAATTAAAATATATTCTGGAAAAATAATTGATTTTTGTGATAGTGGTGTGAATGATGGATTTCTGTGATAGTGATATGAATGGATGATTTCTGTGGTAATGATATGAATGAAGGATTTTTGTGATGATGGTATGAATGAAGGATTTCTGCGATAGTGGTATGAATGAATGATTTCTGTGATAGTGGTATGAATGAATGATTTCTGCAATAATGGTATGAATGAAGGATTTCTGCAATAGTGGTATGAATGAAGGATTTCTGCAATAGTGGTATGAATGAAGGATTTCTGCAATAGTGATACGAATGAAGGATTTCTATGATATAAAATAAATGAATAAAATGAAGGAAAATGTTACTTATTATAAAAAAAATTGTTTTAACCTTTCAAGTCAATATTTATAAGTACATATTGCATTAGAAAAGCTTATGTATTTTTAAATAGCTTAAAATTGTGAAATAAAAGGATAGGATTGGAGAAGGCACGAATGAGATGAGATTACCGATCATGCAGATTAAAAGAAGATTAAATCTGATAGCATAGCTTAATCAGACACACTGATGATACTGAAACTTTGTCAAAATATCACATAAAATAGTTCATTTGATAAGTGACAGAGCAATAAATAAAGTATATGAAAATTCCAAAAATCTATCCACACTTCTACTATTTATGTAAAATTTGATATAACAGAGCTAGAGAAATGAAGTGGATCCCTTGGCTAATCGTTTAATAATAATAACTAGCCAAGCAATGGAAAACCAATAAAAGGCTTTTTCGAGACTCAAACCATTCCTATACATCGACTCTTTATGTTCCTTTGATTAATTTTATTGAAGCAAATTGAGATTGACAATATAATATATTTCCGGAAAAAAAGAGCATGTTTCCTCTATTCTTTGAATATACTAATTTTATCAGCGGGTTTTCAATATGGCACAGAAATCAGAACACATTCAGAACATGTTCCCTTCCGGATTTATATAACGAGCAGATGTGGCTGTCAGTGATGAGCCGATGAAAGATTATTAAATCAAATTTCATGCATTTGAGATGAAAAACTATACGAGGAGGAATAATAGAGAAAAAAAGATGCCAATTATTATAGATGGGCCAGAATTTCAATTAGCTTTCTTGAAATGACAGATAAATCCTGAAGGAGTTATTCCGATTATTTTGTAAGAGTTCTTTTCGATGAAAACAAAATTAAGCAGATGTTCTGGAAAACAAAATTCAGAATTCCAACTAGTTTAGATTCATGAAAGTCGGAGTAAATCACATTCATCATCTTACCTATACCAAAATTTCACCTTTAAAATAGCATATGATGGAATATTTTAAATGAATATATTCAAAAAATTAAATTAAAAGGTTAAAATTAAAAAATTCTTAAATTCTTAATCAAAAAATTAAATTAAAATTCGGATATTTAAATATATTTCATTTAGAGTTCAAATTTAAGATTTCAATGAATAATTGAAATTCAAAGTGAAAATGGAAATAGTTCATTTCAAAAATTATCAATGATAGGCTTGAAAATCATTCCTTATCAAATGAGCAAATAAGCAATTTCAAGCTTAACTTAACCATCTTAAACTATTATAATCTTCAACTCTCATTGAATGTTATCAAATGTTCGATTCATTAAAATTCTATTCTCTCTTCTTTATTCATACCAGTCACTACTACTATTATATAACGAGTTCATCACCCTCAATTTCAATTTCAACTAATTTGTAGTTTATTGTTATATTTCGGATCGTCTAATCCTAACTCAAAATTTATTATTCCCAATTTTATCAGAACTAAATTTACATTTCATTTATTATTTAGTGCTGAAAATCGTACAATCATTGTTGCACAATAATATGCAAAAAAATTAGCGGAAAAATCGATCAATGCCAATGCCAATAATATCATAAAAATATGTGCGAAATTTATGCTAAAATAATAAATTTGTTAATTACATTAATTTCTAAAATGAAATTTAAATTTGCAATG